TGTGCAATAATAAAGATAATGAACGTGTCTTCACACGTAGCAGGTGCAGCTGTTGTATAAGACATGAAAACCTCACTTATTTGTAGCAATCCAGTTGCCTTTTGAGTATATGAGAAAATTTTAATCCACATTTTCAGCACTTAGAATAAGCAAAACATTTTCGTGTTCAATTCAATCCCCTACGACATCGACAATTTTCATGTTAACCACAACAGCCGTCAAATAAATTTAAAACTTTTAACTCTAAGAAACCAAATCATAATGATAGTTATTTCGATTTTTACATTTTATTCCCTGATAAATAATGATTAACTGTATCGTTGAAATTTAATTTGTTCGAAATATCAGACCACGGCTACTGGCTTGGTTTCCAGCCAGCAACTGTCGGTGTGGTCAGCGCTGCTCACTTCACGAGTCCCAATTTTCCTTCAACTGAAGTGAGAATGTGGATTATTTGCCCTTTAATTGAAAGATTATTGTTATCTCTGAAATAAATACATAGGATTTAAATGAATACGTTTTGAGAACGAATGTTTAATTCACCCACATATGTAACAATTTATTATTTAGCCTCTAACCAGGTAATAGAAAAGGGCATAAAGTAAATTGTATATGCTCATATTTAAAATGACGAATTAATGTATAAATAAAACACATCAGGGTACTTGCATCACCTTCGACTACTACATGAATGGTGCTGATGTGAAGAGCCTGGAAGTCATTGTTGAGGAAACCAGCAGCAGTTCCATCATCTGGAGACGAGATGGATTTCAGGTAAACCTAATTCCTTGATTCTTTTTTCCAACGTCAATGACATTCATGGGAAACAACGTTTAAGATTATTTACAAACGCTGATTTCAATTTTTGTTCATATTACCTTAACGAAATTAAAGACTGATAAAGTTAATCAATATCATGCTCTGACTTCATGATGAGATAAAAACCTCGATGGAATATATCGGTAATCTACCTAATGTACCTGCAAAAAAAACTACGTTTCAGTGGTGTTCAACTTATTAAGGTATAACGGAGGAAGTTATTCATCGCGAGTACGCTTTTGCTTCTAACGGAGGTATTTGTTTACAGTTTACCATGAGTTAATTTGCATTTATTTCTTCCAGAGTGATGACTGGATCAAAGGAAAAGTGTTTTACTCTGCAGTGGACCACAAAATATCTTTTCGAACCAAGACTGATGGACGGATCTGGTTGTACGTGGCCATTGACAACATCGCCATCATTCCTGGAAGATGCCCAGGTAAGAATAGCTGAAATTTTGCAACCATTTATACTGAATGAATTAGAGTTTTGATTTTTGAGTAAACTCAATAGGACACCCCGATACAATTTTCTTTTGTACGAAGCCTAGAAAATCACTTATTTTGAACACTTAGGATTCACTTAGAGATAGTCTATAGTCCGCTGGTGCGTACAAGTTTATGTTATTGGCTGAAAATTGTACATACAATATGAAATGTTGAAATGCTTCACCTCAAACTGAAAAACCAATATGAAATGTTGAAATGATTCACCTCAAACTGATGAGGTGAATCATTTTTTGGGTAACTTCAATAGGACCCCTCGATACAATTTTCTATTGCACGAAGCCTAGAAAATCACTTATTTTGAACACTTAGGATTCACTTAGAGATACAGTAGTCTATAGTCCGATGGTGCGTACAAGTTTATGTTATTGCCTGAAAATTGTACATACAAGATGAAATGTTGAAATGATTCATCTCAAACTGATGTTCTATATGCAAGGTTAGCCTTTCGAACTGACACATTTCCAACTTAATTTCCATCTTCAGCGGACGGGAGTGATCTAACAGTGGGAGGCTTCTGTTCTTTTGACGATGGGCTTTGCGGCCTAACTAACTCTGGCTGCTTAGATGAGCACAAGTGGAGCGACCAAATTGGGCCCGTATCCGATCACTCAACCAAGTCGGAATTTGGTGAGTTTTCATTCTTTAACCTGAACAAAAAATGGAAACTAATGTTGTAAAATTTCTTTTTGTAATGGTGAAGTTTGAACATATATGCTCAAAAACAAATGATAATTGCTGGTGTAAAAAATTCTTGAATATTCTATTCAGTGCAACTCACTTTTTCTGATGAGCGCTCATTCGACAGGAATTTTATCTATGGTGAGAACTTAAATTCAGAGTCTTCAAGCTTTTATTTTCCTTAGGCAAGGCCCTGTGGCTGTTTGGCAGCGACAGTGAGGACGTTTCGTGTACAACTAAACTGCCGTCACAAAGCCTGGATCAGCCAGCGTGCGTGACGTTCTACCATCTCACAAACTGCAACGAAGGAGCAACACTTGAAGGTTGGTTGTGAGAAAAATATCTCCTTAGAATGCTATAATGTTTGGAATATAATGTCGTCAGATAATACTTCGTACCTTTGATTCTCGCTTGTTCAGTTATAAAATATGACAATACCGCATGGATGTAGGAATAATCCGAAACTGTAACCAGTTATTTTTATTTTGAGACCTGCGATTCATGTATGATATTGAATAGAAATCAGATGAGCTCAGGGTTTTTTTTATTCAAATGTTCGAATTTTCGAAAGACATTAGAAAGTTAATTTTTCATAATTGGCAGTTATATCAAAAACTGTCGATGGAAGCTCTCTTGCCAGTGGCTTTACTCTGCTCGGTACCAACGGCCATTGGCGAGCTTTTCAGGTCACCATGCACATAAGTACGGAACCTGTCACGGTGAGACCTGTTATGACCTACCTACAGAGATATTAGAAATGATAAATTTTCTTCCTCTCTTAAACGGCGTAGTGAGTCATGATTGGAGAAGAGTTTTTTTCTGAAATTTGTATTGCAATTCTAGGAGAGTTCTTCGTGCAATGAGTCGTTCTCTAGATACGCGTCGAAATATCTCTCTAACTGAATTAGTACACGTTACTTTCTTGATGAAAATATCAGGCAACTATTTTTCTTGTTGAACTCCTAATTATTCAAGAATTTTTAATTGGCGAAATACCCACTGAAATTCCATTACATATGAAAATAATTTTGTACCTAAAACAGATAATCTTCAGAGGAACTCTACCACAATTTAGTAACTGCTCGATCGCAGTGGACGACATTTCCATAGAAGAAGGCATGTGCGGTGACAACGCAGCATATTGTAGTTTCGAGGATCACGGCTCATGCTTATGGTCGTCAGACTCCAATGAACTGCAATGGTTTGTCACTACAACGGAAAGAGGCATCAATGGACCTACGCAGTCGGTGGATCACGGTAGTGAGTATCAGAGGATTGCATCAGGATTGGATGAATTTTTTCGTTGAAAATAGTCACCTGTTAATCGATGTATTTGAAATAATTTTCAAGGTAGGATTCATTCATTTTGGATGTTGTACTTTGTAACATAGACAAATAATTCAAGAAAAATTGGGGTTGTGATTAAAAATCCAACGAACGTTTGGGAATTACCTGTAACCCTTAATCAGAAATTCATCTTATTGACTTACAATCCTTCCATTAACGTAATGGATAGTACTAGCGATATGTACGCAAACATGAGGTACAATTTGCACCTAACCATAAATGAAATTGGTAATTACGGAATAATTGTTCTATATCCTTCCATCATTATAAGAGGAAATGTAAAATCCAAATTCCGCCGAATCATAAATTAAATAATTATGTGTTGATGATTGGATCTTAATCACGCTAGCAATATAGAAGCAAACATAAAATATAATTTGAAGCGAATCATATATCGAATGAGTACGTATGGTTGAGTTTTAATTTAATTGACGAATACATTTCAGCCAAATACTTGATGTTTGAGCCTGGACCTTACCATCATTATGGCCTGAGAACCTCGCTGGTCAGCCCTTCTCTTGTCATGCCAGAAAATACGGCTTTTTTCTGCCTAATATTTTACTATACGGTAAGCCTTTGCATGAATTTTCATTACATTGACTTGCTATTTTTAATTAGCGATTAATTTTATTTTATTTACCTTGAACCTTGATAGATGAAAAATAAATTTTTGCTAACATTCTTTGTTTGATAATATTTTAAATGATGTTCTCCTATTTTAGAGCTATGGGCACAAAGCAGGAGAGGTGATTGTCACGTTAATCAATGAAGAAACCGGAACATCCAAAATTGCATGGAAATCCGAACTGAGGGAGTACTTGGGTTGGTCGCGGACTTCAGTTCCTTTCCAGGCGAGAATCAACCTTAAATAAAAAATGATCTAGCTGTCCAGCTTATAAAACTTGAATGAATTTTATATGACTATGGTTAGTTGTCTACAACAGTTATCATATATTATAATTTGCGTTTTTTTGCATGGAAACCAAAATCTCTAACGAAAGAGATCCTTAAATTGGACTGCAATGGTAGAATACAAATGAAAATCGAAGAATTTTGTATGGTCCCACATTAATTGAATTTTTCAATATGCGCGTTTAACTGTGAAATAAGCTAGATATTAATGTCTATTTGCAGGTCGAGTTCGAGCACTACGTCATCGAACTGGAAGGCAAGGTCGGCGACGGACAAGAGGGTTCATTCAGTGTTGATAACTTGGAAGTGCGATACCAGGACTGTCCAGATGGTGATTTACTTATTCAAGTTGACAATGATTTTTTATTGTTAAATTTATTTTGATTTAAAATCACAGTAGTATTTGTTTTATCTTTAGTCGGACGAACGTCTTAACTTCCAAGCACTTATTTTCCTACATTTTCTTATTAATGTTGACTTAATTAGGATATATAACGATCCAAAATTCATGTTGTTCTTATTCCATACGCACTCAAGAGGACAGCTACTTCACCACAATCTACGAATCTGACGATGCCGTGATACCAAGTCGAAAAAGTAAAATATTGGAAGCTAACGGTAGGAGCGGGGAAGCTCCAGTCATTTTCTGCACATTTGAGGAATCGGATGACAACTGCTCCATCGTTATACTTCCCAATAATGACAATTACACTTGGGTCAAGATAAAAGCAAAGGATGTCGTGTCTCCTTTCCGTCCCCAAGTTGATGGCAACTACGAGCGTGAGTTTTTCAATTACTAATCAAATTACTTATGTGTATTAGCTTTTAATTGTTTATAAGCTCTTTTCTACATCTGTTCAAGATGGTGTTAATGCGAAACGCTATTCACAGCCAGAAATTTTCTTCATGCCAATGATAAACCTTTCTTGTACTCTTCAGCGATTTTTTCTTCCGTTATATATGTCTACCATTTAGCGCTCTTAAATTATACCCTTAAACTATGTTCATATTTTTTTGTCAGGTGACCAGTATTACCTGACGACTCCTCAGTACATTGGGACGAACACTCGCGTCACCACGTCATTCTCGACTGAGCCAATCCCGGGAGACGCAGATTACTGCATGAGCTTCCAATTGCATCACACAGGATTACTGCCGCCGACAATCAGCATCCAACAACGGGTGATGGTCTACGTTTTACGTCAAAATTATATTCAATTGCAAAAATACTATTATTTGCGTTTCTAAATGGTATTACTACGAATTTGTTGGTTAGAACAAATTTTCAGTTCACTCGTGTTGAGTTTAAATATTTTTATTCACTGATTTTGTTCGTATTAAGGGATTCAGGGCAAACGACCGAAATAATTATCAATTTATATGTATGTTAGTCCTATACATCCCAGTCTGATTTTTTCTTTTAATTCTCAGGGAGGCGGTGGGAGTGAACAGCTGATCGAAATTTTCCATCAAGTGGCCCCACAAGCTGATGAATGGATTGATATTTTCCGGACATTGGCCGCGGAAAACTTTCAAAAACCTTTTGTGATCGATGTGCTTGCAATGATTACCAATACTTCTGACGGTGATGTCTCGATTGATAACTTTCAGGTAATATTTCCATATGTATTCAATATGAAAAAAATCCCAGTATATTATAAATTAGGGGTCATAGTTATTTTTTTCCTGAAATTTCAGCTGACAACTCTCAACAATTTTTTTTAAATAAATGCGCTTGGTGTTATCACCAATACTTCTGACGATGAGGCGTCGATTGGCTACATTCAAGTAATCATTAAAAGGGGCGGACATTCATGTCAGGTTCTCAAACTTTACAAGATTTGATGCATCCATTGCATGACAAAAATAAAATCCCATCATAAATAAATATTTAAGCTGGCTGTAGTTGCTGTTTAGTGATGAGCAGTCAGCAAGTCTATTATGACACATTAATTCTATTTTACTGAGCAAGCTAAAAAAGTCCAAAAATTTACTTGATAGTTATAAAGCATTATTTTGTGGGTGTGAGCAGATCGCTCTTGGAGCCTGCCAGGAGCCTACAGATGCTTGTCATTTCTACGAAGGCTTTTGTGGCTTCACCCAAGATAAAGATGACGACATTGACTGGCACTGGCATGACGGCACGGGGTATGAGGACATCTTTGCTCCTTTCGAGTCTATTCGACACGACTCTTACATCTACGTTGACACCAAAGCCCCACACGTAAGCTTACATTCCCACTTCAATAACGCTTCAATTTCCTAAAACACTGGACGCCGAGTCTGCTCGATAAAATAGTTTCTGCGTTAATTTGGCGTGATAAAAGGAGGGCCTGTGCTGTGTGATGTCTGCGCTGTAGAAGCTAAATTTCAAAAACTTTTTACCAGTTACCATCTACCTCATTGATCACTCTTAATTTTTCGGGTGGGAATTTAGTTTTGGTGTTCTTCGTCTCCACCTTTAATCGCAATTTTGTGTCGAACTCAGGACTCGGTAGCTCGGCTGCTAAGTCCTCACTTTGAGCTGCAGCAGCAGCGGTGTCTGTCCTTCGACGTGCACCTACATGGGCTGTCGGCTGCTCCAGGCATCATACAAGTGTGGCGCGAAGACATCGGTGGTATACAACCTCAGCTCATTAAAGTCGTGGATGGTGACCAAGGACTAGAGTGGAGACACATTTATGTAAGACTCGTATTATCAGATGCCGAAATAAATTGCTTCCTAAAAGATGATCCGTAAAATTCCAGTCTGGAATGATAAGAGCTGCGCTGGAAAGTTCCCACACAATTTTTAAGAAACGTCTTTAGTTGTAAATATGACAGAAAAAACATTTATTGAACGTACGTATTCACCCCCATTTTTACTATACAGGTGCCACTCATGAAAGGAGGTACCACTCGGTTCATATATGAAGGAATACTTGGACCAAAGGAGGAACTCTATTCCTCCATGGGACTGGACGAGATCCGTCTCAGTGATGGGGCTTGTCCAGACGATCTGTCATGCAGCTCAGAGCATCACCCGTGTGGGTGGTACGGCGAGCCCCAGGTCAACGGTTCCCTCTGGCAGAAAGCTTCGGGAAAACAAGTGTCGCTATGGACACGACCAATCGTGGACCACACCCTGCAGAGCTCCTGGGTAAGAATAATCTAAAATAATGAGTGGATTATATACATGAATGAAACAATTTAGTTCGATTAGTGATATCAAAACCTAGCGGAAATAAAAAAAATGTTTCATACATGCCTTTGTTATAAGGAAACCGTTGGGCTAAATATGCTTTATTTTTCATTCGAATAATTGTACTGTTTTGCAGGGGAGCTTCGTCTTTGTTCCTGCCCGTCAAAACCTTGATTCAAAATATGCTCTACAAAATCTGCTTTATTCACCTGTGATGTCTGCCTTGGGAAAAACAGCTTCCTGCGTTTCGTTCTGGTTTCATGCGTAAGTATTGATATTATTTTTCAACTATGAGACGCTGGTTCATTCACCGCGATTTTGAATAAATATCTCGCGACTGGAGGAGCTTTAATGCTTTCTTATTTTTTGTCGGCGATTCATCAATGAATATTGTCCTTTATTTGGTACGTGATTGTGAGATAGGCTTGTGTATCCAGATATATTCTTTATTATTCTAATTTCAATTTATAGTACAATTTTTATTGACGGTCTTTATTTCAATAATGATAAACAGTTACGGCTGCGAAGGATGTGTCCTTCACTTACTCCAAAAAGAGGCAAGGACGAAAGTTTCAACAGAACTGATGCAAGTGCGCGATCATGATCGCTATGACGTTGACTGGAGTTACGTCCGAACGTCATTACTGCCGACCAACAACTCCTTCCAGGCAGGAGCAAAAACCTTCCGCTTCGTCTACTTCTCAGAGATTCTGATATAATTTGCTTAAAATTATTTTTTTCCGATTTTGATTTATGTTAGGTACATATATCACATGTGATGTTATACCAGGAAATTTAATAAATGTTAATCATCTTTCATTGCATATGGAAACAATCGATATTAATGGAATAACATCTCCTATTCAACGTGATGTGCTTTGATCTATGACTAATTATTAATGCAATGCCTACTTATCGCGCTCCTCCTGATGTTTCAATAAATATGTGGATTCATCATGTAATTTATAGCTCGTGATGCTCGTGGAAACATCCTTCAATTCGTTCGGTGACATTTCGGTGGATGATTTCCTCCTAAACCCCGGCGATTGTGACAGAACAGCTCACGCAAATAATTATCAGCTGCCAACTGGAGATTTGTCGTGCAACTTTGACAACAACACGTTTTGTGCATGGACGGCTAAACCTGTTACGGTAGGATATGCTAATGTTCTGCGGAGAATTCTGAATTTTGCATTGTTACTACTAAAAATTAAACGTAGTGATTTTTATCGATGTTAAGCCCTGGTTACTGTTGGAATAATTCGCGTTAGAAGAAAAATCTTTTGGTGTTCCGGAGTGAAGGAACAAAGTGTTTTTTATTACACATCGAGGAATGAAATTTGCACTCTCTCTGAAAAACGAAAATGTAGATAAGATTTTTGATATAATTTACATGAGTAGCAGGTACCGAAAATTTATCAAGTTGTAAAGATTTTGAGAAGACAAAACTCCATTGTTTAATTCGGTGTGGACCAAGCTACACGTGTGTTTCGTTTCACACGGTAAAAAATAGCCTATGACATGTATATTTATTTTTTCCATTTTAACACTAGATTCTGAGGAAATTACGTTCAGTTTACATAGCTTGTTAAAATTATTAGAAATCGTAAAGTGACGAATTTTAAAACTTACTCCCCAATTTTGCAATAGGGTAATTCCGTCATCTTCATTTATCCAAGTAGTGAGGCTTATTCCAGCTGTTCAAAAAATTCGTGTTTTATTTTATATATTCCTCGCAGGAAATAACACTAAAAAATTCACACTAGACACTTCTTCACTTTAACAGATGGACTTTTTCTGGAAACTTGGTAATTCAGCGTCAGTGAAGCACCAAGTTCCTGATAAGGATTACAGCGAAACCGGAACCGGTGAGTTCATGCTCTATAGTATTGGCTTATTTACTCGGGAATTTTCATGTGATTATTCTTGATGAAAATATATTCTGCAAGTTTTTGTGGCATTGAATGTGAATAAACATAAAAGTTAACCACTTGGCTCAACTTTAGTGCTACATTTCCCCTATAATGGAACGAAATCTAATTACTTCGAAATTGACGAATGTCAAATCTTGTATCATAGAAGACTTTTATTTAGTTCTCCTACACTCTTTAGCACTAGATTAACAGGTCCTCTTCATTGTAGCGTTTATTATGAAAAAAATGTTTATTTTTTTCTGCAAAATAATGAAATTAAACCAACATGATTTATAAATACATTCACTTTTTCAAGGCCTGTATGCGTACGCCGACATCTACGAAAGCATTTCACCTAACAGTCGGACACAACTAGTAGCGACTCTCACGTCAGTCACTGACTCCTGCCTCACCTTCCACTACTACCTCGAGGGCGACCACGAGCTCGTTGTTACGCGGGTGTTGAACGTGAGAAATACTAATTGTCGAGTCCTTTTTATGGTTAAATTCGTGGTGAGCAAATTGTATAGTCGAGCAAATGCAAACGAAATTTACTGTGTATAATGGAGGAGCATTTATCGAACCGCTCGAAGAAAACAAATGAATTGCCAACGCAGAATACTGGGAACGTCCTCAAAAATGGTGAGTGGTGGTTCGACTTGTCGATCGTGCAGTATTTCATTTGACAATAAATAGGCTTTATGATGCGCGAATTTTAACGTTCATTCTTAGATGAAGCGGTCAAATTTTTGCTTATTTTGCTGCAGGATCGGGGAGAAGATCTCTGGCGCAGAGGCTCGCCAGAGCCGAACTGGATCTTCGGTCAAGTTAACTTGGATGCATCATCAGAAACATCAACAATTATGTTCGAAGCGATTCATGGTAGAGCTGCCTTAGGAGCAATTGCTCTGGACAACATTGCCGTAGAAGATGGATATTGTGCTGAGAGAGGTATTTTGTTTTCAGTAGTTGGCGACTAAAAATTTCAATCAAAAGGGATTATTGAATTTATTGAATTAGGAAACTGGATGATTTCAGTTGATATTGCCATATTTTACAGATCATTATGTTTTTAAGCTTTTTGTCCTTGCCCCACAAAAATATATTTTCACCTTAATTTTGCATTTTACAGTCGAAAGTTGATCTATATTGCCTGAAAAATCTAATTGCCTTTAATGGTTAGCATAAGCGAGGTTGTTAATCCGAGTATCTATTGAAAATCAACAGTGCCATTCTAATTTTAATAATAAAAAATAAATATGCGGCAGCAGATCATCCACACTTTGCTCTCTCGTACAAAGCGTCATTTGTGTCGTTCTCCGTCAGAAAATTGGTGCGACTTCGAGTCGAGTGAAGCGTGCGGCTGGACGTTGGCTGGCGTGGGCTCTGAGGATATAATTGTGTGGGAGCGACTGAAGGATGCTATGGAGGATCACACGTACCAGACGCGCTTCGGTTACGTCTTGGCTGTGAACAACAAAAACGGATCTACTAACAAAACGGCTCTAGCAAAATCATCCTCAATTTCGCCTTATGGTTGGAGCTGTGTAAGGTATGAATTTCAAACTTTAAACATTTACGGATTCGTTTAAGCCCGGAAATTTAATTTCTTCTAATATCAGTGACTTCCGTGTGCGCGCCCGGGAATGCCTTGACATCAAATTTTTGTTTAAACTTTTCGTCCCCGATGAGAAGAAAAATGACTTTATTTATTCCGAGAAATTTTCATTATTAATAATATAATTTTTGCTGTGGTTAAATTATTTGATTTATGTTTGCATCTAGGAACATTCAATTTGTTTTCATTATCACTAAATAATTTCTTGCAGATGGTGGTACATCGCGAAGCCCGAGACCACATCGCTGCTGACGGTCTCCTTCATCCCAGTTGACGACAATGGGACGGAGCTTAGAGAGGTAGCGTATTAAGCACTCCGATTAATTAACAATAGTTAATAAATTAATTAAAATTAATAATTAATATATTCGTATAACAATGAAATTGTTATAAAGCAATAAATTATTACTTACAATGAATTGATAATAATTAATTAGAATTTGCATAATCATCAATATTTCAATTATATCAGTCAGTTTTCTATCTGCGTTGATGCAATCCGTGTTTGTTTTCTTTTGCAATCAAAATGAACATCTTTAATACGATCTGAGTCAAGATGATTCAGAAAATAATAGTCTGACGCATTCAGCTACAAAAGGCTCCTTTCGATTCATCTCAAGTATTTTAATAGAGTCGTTGTTCGTATTACAGATGCGTTAAAATTCACAAGTGAAATTCATTCCGTTTTATATATATGTCTTCGTTCCAAATCTTAATTTATAAAGTCCAATCGAGTGTATAATGTATAAATAATATAAAAATCTTATTTTTTTATAATTAAACTGCGTTTTCCACAGAACGCAGAGCTGTTGTGGTCATCGATGGTCACTGCTACAGAGTGGAGTAAGGGGATGATATCAATGACCGCTTTCCGATATCATCTTTTGTTCGGGGCATCATTTTTCTCAACATCTGAGGCCATTGGTATCGCCATCGATGATGTTTATGTCGACAATGGTTACTGTGGACTTCCAGGTTTGCAGTGGATCTTTTACTGTGTAGACATTAATTAAGGCATTTTTACAAACAATTAATTAAATATAAAATTGGAAATAGTATATTGTAAATAGAATATTGGAAATAGTATATTGTATATAGAATATTGGAAATATATTATTGGATATAGAATATTGGAAGTAGAATATTGGAATTAGAATTGATCTGGGAATTGAAGCAGTCCTCGAAACAAAAAAATTATCTGTTGGAAAAAATGTAATGTCAATTTGAGAAGTTTTTTACAAACTTTAACCTGCAATGGGTAAATTTTTTCACAAAATTTAAACTGCCTCCAATTTTGCGGATTATATTAATTTATTTTGACTGATTTACACTTCTCCGGTTGTAGCACTTGAAGCGCACTTCTTTCTTTACATTATTGCATTGAATAAAGTTTCATCTACGTTCACCCAAAGTGTTTATAATAAATTCATCATCATCGGAATCAATACGATACGTATTCGAGACGAACCTACAACGGTGATTAATAATTTCTTAATACTGTTAAGAAGTTACTAATTTACCGCAACATCAGTAAATATTACAACTTATGTTATTGAGGACGTTATAATATTTGAATTTTAATACCAGTAATGCAGTAATAACAGCAATCGGAGTTGACTTGAATAGCATCACTGTAATGTTGCTGTCACGGTCAGGAGACTGCGCGTTCACGGGGAGTAGTTTGTGCGGCTGGGAGGTGCATGACGAGAGCTCCAGCTATTGGCTCATCCAACACGGCGACGACCACACATTTGGTGGTAAATAGACTACAGTGGATATCATGGATATTTTAACGCTCATAGAAATTGTGATAATATTAATTTAGATTAGTATGTTGACACGTACTGCTGCGGTCAGCGTGGATATTGTGATGATCATGGAAATTGCGAGAATATTGACTGTGAAGTCCCTCAGTGGGTTGAAAATCCATCGGACATCATGGACATAGTGACGCTCATAGAAATTACGAAGATTTTAATTGTGAAGTCAGTCGGTTGACACTCGATGGGCCTTCATTAATATTGTGACCCAAATGAAAATTATGAGAATGTTAATTGTGAACTCAGTCAAACCAACTTGGGCAATGAAATTATTTATATAATTTATTTAAAATTGCTCTCATGTTCCTCACAAAATGTTTGCTGGTGATTGTTGTTGAGATTAATCGACCAAATTTAGGGGAAAACTGCACCTTCTATTGAGAAATATACAGTAAACAAGAAAAAAACACTTGATCGACATTTTCAATTTGAGTTTCCTTTGCAAACATTCAGTGTAATAGATTTAATGAGCATTGTTTCTTGATCAGACGACTACTACTTGAGACTTGCTGGCAAGGAATCCTCCGTAACGAGTCCTGTCATTAGCGAGGACGTGTACAGCAACGCTTGTCTGACCTTCTGGTATCGCATGGAGCAGGCGTCAACCATCGAGTGGTTCTTGCAACTGGTTCGTGCCGAGCATACCACAGTGATTTCTGATGCACGGTTTTACAAACTAGTAGTAAGTGCTATATTGCATGACTTTTATTGGTAAGGATAGTGGTTTTCAGGCTACAAATGATATTTTAATTCCTGTAATTTCTCAAGATCAAGGCCCCTTTTCCATACATATATGACTTATTTAAACAATGAAAGGTCGGCGACACCGAGAAGAAGCCTGTATGGGTTGATACGGACGAAATGGGCACGCGAGGATGGAGGTTCGGGCGCACTCACCTTCATCTGAACGAGTCGGACTGGGGGGCGCGGCTTGTGCTGCGCGGCACCACAGAGGCTTACTGGGAGGACTCCGTCGTGGGTGCGTTTTCTGACACCAAATACAATTACCGCTATGGGAAAAAACTATGGGTTTCGATCGTGTTCTACACATAAAACTCGAATTTCCGGACGAATCAAAAAAATATATTGTTATCGTTCAGGGCGACGGCATTAATGCTGAGTGCAGCGCTGCTGGTTTCACCAATATCACAATTATTAATTTTATGACACGATTTCAAATCCGGTACCAACTTATCTTATATTCATAAGTTTCCTATACCTGTCTATAATAGTGTTAAATGATACTGAGCCAGTTCCAACTTTTCTTTTAAATTTAAATTGCCTGTTGTTGAATATGCATGGGAACAGGAGTGGATGATATCCAGCTTTTCGTTGGCGAGTGTTCCACGGTGCCCCTCATCGCCGACCCGAGTTTGCCTACGGAATCAACGACGCCGGAAACCACAGCGATGACTGAATCGACTTCACGTGCGAGAATTACTCATAATTGCTCATATATTTTACTTCCAAATATTTTATGATGGATTCTATGTTTACTGTTATGCAAATCTCGTTTTTTTTCATACAGTATGATATAGTATTGTATAGTATAGTATAGTATAGTATAGTATAGTATAGTATAGTATAGTATAGTATAGTATTAATATTGCCCAGGGTGTGTGCTCATGTTTCATATTCTATTATTCCTACTGTATTCTTATTCAAATTAGGAATATACCTACCGCATAGATGGTAGGTATACTCATATAACAGCGAGTTTCTCTTTCCAAAGAAACAGCGAGTTTCTCTTACTCTACGACAGCGAGTTTCTCTTTCCAGAGAAACAGCGAGTTTCTCTTACTCTATGTCAGCGAGTTTCTCTTTCCAGAGAAACAGCGAGTTTCTCTTACTATATGACAGCGAGTTTCTCTTTCCAGAGAAACAGCGAGTTTCTCTTACTCTATAGCAGCAAGTTTCTCTTTCCAGCTCCACTCACCCAGTACGACTGCGACTTCGAGGACTTCAAGAAACCTTACTGCGACTGGTACAACGCTCAGGGCGAGACATGTTCATGGTCTACGACAGGAGCTCCGATGCTCACGTCTCCTCCTGGTCCGTCCGTTGATCACACTCTAGGATCAGGTGAGTTGTCTCCATTGGAAATATGAAGGTACGTTCTATTAAAAATAGTTACGAGTTTGTAGCTCCTTCAGACAATCACTGACGGCTTTCAAGCTAACTCGACCAATCACAGATTAGAAATCGGTGGTTCTCCCAAATAAAAATTAAGAGTGGAGCACATGTTTTTATGTTTTTATTGTTGCTATCGGCGGATGCCATAAGTGGAGCAACTATGATTTATACAGTGAATTAAGGGTGGCGTGCACCACCCATCCTAACCTATAACCTGCCGATGGCTCCCCTTCCCGTAAAACTCTTTTTCCGCCAATAACTCCCCACCGTTATGGTACCTGCATGCTATCTAATATCGCCATCTATAAACATCGATGCGCCACCCTTGATTTTTACTTGGGACTTGGATAAAAAAATAGATAGGCTTAATTTTTATCACGTGTGCTTAATTAGGCCGTTGCGTCTATCTCAGCAAGTTTTGATTCTAAAGCAAATCGTCTATCAGAACTACTTACAGTATGTTGATTAAATGAGTCTTGCATTTACAAAAAAATATTTACATATATTACGAGCACAAACTATGCAGCAAATTTTATGTCTACCAATCTCCGTGAAAGCTAAGTTATGACTTGCCATTCTCATAGAAAATCAATTGTACTATCAAATTGTTAATAGAAAGTATTTATTTTGGAAAGGTAATGCACACGCTCACTAAATCGTCGTTCAGAGTTCGCGAAATTCTGATAGAATTCCGAGCTTCGGGTGCTACTATGTAATTTCGCTTGCCTTTGCCGACCATGAAAATATGATCCCGCAAGGAAATATGAAAAATATAAATCCTTCTCATTTCGTAGTTTCGGATATTCTTCATATTAAATATCAACCATAACATCTATTTTTATAATAACTCCCAGAATGCGAACGTCTTTCAAGATTTCTTTCTGTTTTTTTTTTCTAGATGGTATAGGGCACTTTGCGTTCGTCCAGAGCCCGGATGAATATGGCACTTCAGAATGTGTATTGTACGAAAATGTACCGGCCGGTGCCGTGTGTTTTTCGTTCTGGTATTACATGTACGGCCCGAGCGTCCAGAATTTGACAGCAACCTTCGGTACAAGCTATGACCACAGGGAGCCGCCCGTATTTTCCCGGTCTGGTTCACAGGGAGAATTCTGGCATCCCACTCGTTTCACGTTGCACCTAAATGAGTCATCAGTGAGTTTTTCATAAGTTAACTGTTGAAAGAAGTGATGCTTAAGTGAGGTAGTTATTTAAAAAATATACATCATACCTCCATGGCCTGTGTCTAATGCGGTGTACGTATCTTCTTTTCATTCCAGGTGATGCTGATAACGCAGAAGACTAATGACTCCTACGGAGTGGTCGCAGTGGATGACTTGAGAGTGAAGCTAGAACCTTGTTCGTATAATGATACCAATCCCTACGAGCTTCATGACTTCGAACAAAATGGTTCCGGGTTTTTAGTTGTAGCAGACAGTGTTCTGAACTGGACCTTAGGCAGCACAGGAACAAAAATTGATCACACGCTGGGCACAATTGATGGACACTTCGCTCTGTGGTACACCGACAACTCAGAGCATGCGATATCTGGAGCAATTGTTTCACCAATTTATCAGTCGAACAGCGAGGGATCGCAGTAAGTTTATATTGGGGGATAGCCTAATCAATCAAGTTTACTATTTAAAGATCTTTAAAACTATCCGCACTCAATATATTTATTATTACCGAGGGTCCTTTCCCTCCAATATGTTAAATATGGTTTTCATAGTTGTAAACGCCGAGGTGCATTCTATCAAGCTCCATAATTGAAACATATTCCCAATTACAAGCTTGAATTATACTATTTTATTCTAACTATACGTACCGATTCCAGTTTTAAAGCATTCAAATTCAGTTATCTCTTTCTCTGCTAGATAAAAGAATTCACTCTACCATCTTCTGATATTTCCATAACGTTCAACTTTTCATCGAATTACCCACTCTATCCCTAATATCGAGGTACAAAATGATGTAACAAATTTATCTTTCATTTCCAGTTGCATGCATTTCTACTACATCCTGGACACCTCTTCCTCCAATGCGTCATTGACAGGCTCGTGTATCCTATCAGAAACCGGTTCAAATGAAGAAACAATTTTCAGCAATAAAATAAGTCAAGGACCAAATTGGATCTACCAAGAAGCCACAATTCACAGCGGATGCAGTCTGCAGGTTTTAATCGCCTAGAAATATTTTCGTCATTTTGAAGTCATAATATTTAGTATTTTGACAACACTTCACGCTAAAATCAACAGATTATCATAACTAATTCATTTCTCACTGAAATAATATTGTTTGAACAGTTTTATCCCGTGCATTAATTTTATAAAAGATTTAGTATCAAAAATGTGTACATCGAAGAGTGAAGTTATTTTATCAAATAATTTGTGAGCGATAAAAATGTAAGTTCCAGGAAATTTTCATACAACGGTAAGTTTAATGCTAATTTTATGCCACCAAATGTATAAACCAGGTAAAATTGGAAGCAAGAGATGACTACAGCCCCAGTACCACCATGGCCATCGACGATATTTATTTCACCGATGGAGTTTGTCGCGACACATATTCATGCGACTTCGAACACGACATGTGCTTCTGGGAGAACGTATACCCGTCCCAGATGAGGGAAGAACAAATGCAGTGGCTGATAGCAAGTCCCGAAGACGCTGATTTTATCGGGCCATCCATTGACACCACTTTCAAGTCTGCAGAAGGTATCAATAATAATGTCGAAGTTATGATGAAAACCAAATTCTGTTGACATAAGAGATAGATGTGTTTTTTACGCATCGCAACATTTTAAATTTTCTATGATTACCATAGCTATATAATTTGGCTGTTTTGTACTCAAGATCTCGTATTTTTTCAGTTGTCCGTAATAATTTCATGTGTACTACTGTGTTTCGTTACAGGACACTACATCATACTTTCTGGATCTTTCATCGTCGAGGACACGGGTGAAGCCAAACTTGCATCGAAGGAATTTCCACAAACAAACATTGATGGAAACTGCTTGACGTTTTCCTACAGCATGCGTGGACAATCTTCTCTTTTGGTACCATTTGATCTATGATGTCTTTTCAGTTGATAATAAAATATTTTGCAAATAACATGATTTCGCTAGAAATTTCATTATCATAGGGAACTCACTTTTTATTTGTTCTCAGAAAACAGTCTGTAATTTCTTTGATTAAAGTAATGAAGTTTCATTTATGTTTTAAATTTCGTTTATTAAGATACCTCACTGGTTTTTATTAAAATTTAGAATTGATCAAGGTTCAATTCGTTAGTAAATTCTGTTCATAAGAAAGAAAGCTAATACTCTTCCTACTGGCATTTGAATGAAGAAACCTTACTGAAGAAGCATTCTATCAAATATTATTTTAATAATATAATGATTTCTGCAGGTTAAAGTTATAGAATATCTTGGAAATACCTACACAATCTGGCGACTGAACACCGATAGCGGCTTTTCTTCGGGCTGGGGTGAAGCAAGCGCTAATATTCGTTCGAAAACAAATTTTCAAGTGAGTTTAAAGATTACAGTAATTTTGCAGTGTAGAGGAACATAGCAGTGACAGCGGAATACGATATAAAACTGTTGAACCGCTTTTGACTCAAAATATGAACCAAATTCCCCATGAGGAATTCATATATTTGCAAATTAGATTCGCCGTATAGGGAAAGGAATTATTTTTCTTCGTTTATTCTCCTATGTTCTGTGCTCGAAATATTTTATTGCTTTTAATATATTACGTTGAAATTTAATTTGAATCCTTAGTTACTATTAATCTAACTAATATTTTTTATATTGACTTTGAGTTCTTGGATGATTACAGCTTCTAGTTGTAGCAACGCTGTCAAACGATCGCAGTGCCTTCGTCGCTGTTGATGATTTGCGGTTCAAATTTGAGCCGTGTTCCGTTGAACCTCCAGAGGCATCCGTTGTACAGCAAAGTAAGCGTTGCAAGCTTCATATAAACTTTAACTCTAAAATTTGACAAAAAAAATATGTAAAACTGAGTGCAGAAGGTGAGAAAATTGCTGCTCGTTGATTGCGTGCGTTTATTCGAACTTAAATGAAATTTCCCCGTGACATAAGTACCTAAATTTGTGAGACGGCATATTTGTGCTACCACATGAAAAGCCAATTCTCCTCCTTCTTCTATGAAGCGGTTGAAAGTCTTTCCTGCGACTTCTCAACGGATCTCTGCACCTGGAAAGCTGGAGCAGATGACACAGTCGCGATATTGACTGGAGAGACCAAACTCGTGTCGGCCATGTCGAGTCTGCGCGGCTCCTATGCCTACATGCCGAGTTTCAACGCCACCAGCAAAGCGTCTCTCAACTCTGCTTTGTTATCGCCGAGCACTGACGAGCCTAACACCTACTGCTTTAGTTTCTGGCTAGTGACAGTTTTACTTTGTTAAATTCATGGAAATTTTGCATGCTCTGCCGGTTTTGATGCATAGTTATGTCATAATAAGTGTAATACTTCAGGTGACCATTTTATGACTAAATTCATCATTTCGTAAGTGGAACATCAATTGAACCCTCCATGCATATTGATTAATGCATTTATCATGAAAAAAATTCTTAAAAGTTGCTCAAACTGTAAATCAATTAGTTATTCTCTGTTGGGTTCAACTTGGTATGAATTTAATTATTGCTACCTATACCAGGCATAAATAAGCTATGCGCTACTTGGCTTAATTAACTCCGGGCACTGTCTAAATATTTTGATTTCGTTGCATTCTAAGAGTCGATTTACGAATCTTAGTGCATACAATATTTCACTGCGCATCAAGTTCATGTATAAACTATCCATGGTGTACATTAGTTTTATTCGAGAACAAACTGAATCATTCGCTTGAAAAACCAAAGTCATTTTATTCACCAGTCATCTTCAGAGAGATACATTTTCAAATAATACATTTGGTCAATTTAAAATCTCATAATTGAATGATTCGTTTTTAATACTTTTATATTGAATTGTCGTCATTTATGCGAAATCAGGTACTATAACTTCGGGGTAACTGCGCCACGAATTGCAGTGTACTGGATCAACGACGAGACCGGCCAATCGAATCTCGTATTCTCGAAGTCCGCTAGCAAAATTGATGTCTGGTCTCTGGCAAACCTGGAGATATTTGCCGACGTTGATTGGACGGTGAAGAAATTAATCAAATATTATTTGCTGGCAAATGTGCCAGAAATATATTTGCACAGAAATGTGCTTTATTCTACTATGACCATAAACGCCCTCTACTATAGAAGGCTCATGACAAATAGTTATGACTGAATGCAGTATACATGTATGGTGATAAAAATTATCCGACCACAATACAATTTATTGCTACCTTACAAAAAATTGTTCTTTCCATATAGAAAGCCTAGCTCTTTCCTCCATCCTCTATGTGTTGTAGATGAATTTTTGATTCACTCAAAACTATTCGTGCAGTTATCCGTGAAAATTGTCTCTGAATTCATGGAAGAGTTGGGAGTTGCTGCCGTCGATGACACGTCCAGTAAAATTGGCAACTGCGAGAATCCTCCTGGCGACTGTGACGTTGAAGTAGGTTTTGCGCTTTGCTTGATGGAACTGAGCAATTAAATGTACTTGTAATATACTTGCGTAGCTCCATATAATTTTTTAACAATACCAAGTTCGTTCGTTTATTTCTGTCGTATTAAGAGTACCAAAATGATTGTGTAGTTTATGTAGGAATTGTTGCTAAGTTTTAGGCCCATAATAACGAGCAATAATGTACATTTATTAATTAGATCATAACCTACTATTATAATTATCAATATTAATTATAAAATTCTCATTGTTTTAATATATATTTCTCATTAAAATTCTCGATGATAGTATATGTTAATTCTATTAATAACAACGTCCTAGGTGGACTGGTGCCTGTGGTATAACGTGCAAGATCTTCCTTTGAAATGGCAACGCTCGTCTCCCATTGAGACACCTGAAGGTGGCACCCCAGTGATTGACCACGACCACACGACAGGATCGCCGTATGGTACATATTTGAATTAATATTGACGTATGAAATAATGTAAATTGCATTCAGAGTATGAAAAATACTGACCTACCAGAAAATAAATATTTTAGTCCCGTGCACCGAAGAATCTTCGACGATAAATTATTATGATAAAGATTTCTTTTCGTAAAACACGTAATGCACAATTTTCTTTTATTCTGTCAGTCAGGAGAAAAAATCTAATCGTTAATTCGATGATCAAGAAGAAGATTATTTGAGCTTATATGCTTGCGTACAGGCTTCTACTTCGCGGTGCAGCCTGACGCGCCCACGGGAGCTGTAAGAAGTGAACTGTACGCACAGCTTGAAGGTCCAGTCATTTTTTCAGGCATCGCCGAACAGTGCGTCATCTTTTGGTACTTCATTGACTGTGAGTTCTACTCAACATTTGCCTTCACTTTAATGCAGAATTCAATGTGTGAAAACCGTCCCCACATGCATTACTAAAAATCACCAAAAGAAATATTGTATTTGTACACAATATTTACAAATATTGTATTTGTAAATATTGCATTTGCAATACCAAAAAGAAATATTGTATTTGTATTTCGTACCTTTAAATATTATATATTAATGCGTGATTAAATTCATAATATTGTTTATTTTCGACGTCGGCAGCGGCAAGCAATTCAAGTCTATCAGTTTTACGCCAGCAAATCCAGAACAAGACATCAACGACCGTTTGGAAAGCTCAAGGATCTCATGGAACAGGCTGGGTGTCGAGTAGAGTTTCTGTAGACACTTCAGTTGCCGATATAAGGGTGAGTCACACGATCATTTAGGTCAATCGTCTACATGTTAACTTTTTACTTCATAAAAATGACATCACTGAAACGATTCAGAATCGCTCTTTGAATATAGTTAATTTGAGCCTCCGGCATTATTTCCACGCAGTAAAATTTATGGTCAATTCGTCATTATTCCTCTTTCTTAGATATTATTTCAAGCGGACATCGGTGACAGCGGCTCGTACGCTGTTCTACTGGATGACATCATGATCCTGGAAGAAGCTTGCCCTGCTAGCGATCTGTCTTGCTCCTTCGAATATTCGTGCGGCTATTTTGCTGGCAACGAACGGCTCAACCCTTGGCTGATCGGTAGAGGAGTCACCGAAGTGCCTGACAACGTCACTGGTCCCATTACAGACCATACGTTCATCAACGGCATGTATGCCTACACTGACTTCACAAGCCCGGCCGTCACGTGTACGATGAAAATTATTTTTCATATTATTACATTTGCTAATATTTATCACAATAAATTGTTATTAGATTTATATTAGTAGTTAACACAGAAAAGTTTTTAATTCAAACGAAGTGAAGAGGCTTGTTTCACATCAATTTTTGTTTCATCACAAAAATACTTTAATATACATCCTAGATTTATTTCAGTGAACAACATCATCGACATGAGTTTTGTTTCTAAATTTAAGTTCAATTCAATTCACAAGAAATGCTCTACTAATCAGAGAGAAATCAAGTATGCCATTACGCAAGAGAAAAAAACTGATAGCACTAACATTAATTGTGTTCTCTTATATTGCAGTTACGGATTCACCAGTTCACGCTCTTCTTGAAAGTGAACTCCAGCAGCCCATGGCAGGATGCCTTAGATTTTACTGGGTCAAATATATGAAAAGCAGCGAAGGTGTAGATGCACCTATCCTCAGTGTTCATTTAGTGAGTCAATATATTAATAAATTCGAGCTCAAGTAAGGAATAGTTTCGTTCAAACACCCCAAGAACCCAAAACTCTGTATAAAATATCTACGTCTACTTAGTCTCTTTTTTCTAATAATCACTCGCATCAAGAACTGAAATTCAACTTTAAAAAAATTTGAAGTCAGAAACTGGAAAAAATATAATTGTAGCCCCTCATTTGCATCCTAGGGTGGTTACGTCCCAGTCTAGCAATGGCCTTCACGTTTAAACTGACCCTGGAGTATAATTCATACAAGTAATCAAACTTTGTAGATGGAGCAAAATTTAATGCAATGAAAAACACAATTAACAGGATATTCGATGCTATACTGAATACGGTGTCTGATTACAGTGGTTGAATTTATTTTGCATAGGTCTGAAAATTAACCTAACATCATTAGAAGGAATTCAACAGTAGTTGAAATTCTCTAAGAACTAGCCTAAGTACTGCGTCTCACGCCACACTACAACAGTCGGCATCAAGACTAAGAATAAGACACTCAAGTGTCGCAATAAGGAACTTATCAACTACAGACCAAAGCTACGCGCTATGCGTAAAAGCTGCGGCTTTATTAATTTTCGCCTAGACTCGTCGCAAATAATTGTACCTATATGCACTATACCTCATCAATATTTTTCAGATTTCACGGCCAACCAACACCATCGTTGATGTTGTGGTCCTCAACGATACGAAAATGTCTACAACTTGGACTGAACAGCGAGTAAGTTCTTATGTTATCTTATTTATGAAACATGTTAATGTATAATCCATAGCATCCAAAATGTGTTTATAAATCACTAGTTACTTTTAAAAGATCTTCCCTTTCTTGGTCCCCCAATTCGTCTTGCACTCTGCTCAATTTTCATGCTCCTCGCCAGTTGAGCTTAAATACGAAAATTTCCTGTTACATGTAAAAGCGCGGTTCAAAATGTTTTGTCCCTGTTCATCAGATTACAGTCAATTGCCACTTATATATTTTTAGAAATCCACCCATAATTGCCACATATTTTTCGAAATCCACTTGCAATTTCGTAAGGGAATGTCGTTTATTTATTGCATGACATTATGAAATTACAAGCGGAAAATAGTGATTGGACGAGCTCACTAAGACTCTTTAAACTGTTCACAATATCGATGAAGAAAAAATTCCAGTTATAGCGTGTTGAAAATGTTTCTTTTAGGCTGCATTCACGTCCGATGGATCCGAATTCGTTCTTGTTTTCAACGGCACGGCGTTCGGAAGAACGAGCTTCATCGGCATCGACGACACGCTCGTCTGGAGCGGCGACTGCAGTGATCCTCCCATGCCTGCACCCTCAGCCTTCCCAGGTGAAGAATGAAATTTAATTAATGTTAAAACTTCCTATTGCTTGCGTGCAAAACATATATAAATATTTTCATGTGGTGACGCTAAAATTTGCATGACGTTATGTGTGAACTCGAAGAAATAATCACCGTATATGGTTGATTATTGTGCCAATTTTAATGGTCGCGGTCAAAGGTTTTGCAAAAAAATGCTTGTTTCATTTTCACATTCATATTTCATTAAAATTGTTCTCTTTTCACACAAAATTCTTTAGACAAATTTCCAAGCGGGTGTTGCGATATTTATTGTATTACGAATATACTAGCAAGTTGAACCACACTGAGCTACTATTATTGGGAAGACAGTAATCCAGATCCGAGAATGTATGCAAGTCTGGAATATTTTGAAGCATCTTTAAATTTCATTAGCTAGAGTTACAATGCATGCCAGTTAAGAGATCAAACCGATCTCCTAAAATGTTAATTAAATTTGAACAGATGAAAGAGCAATGACAACAGACTTACCACTCTGCATAAAAAATATTTCTAACATTTTGAAAAAATTAAACTAGTTGACCCATCAGGTTCGTGGAAATGTTCCGTCATTAAATTATTACGCACAGGAACTTGCGACTTTGAAAGCGAAGACCGATGTGGGTTTCAAGACGAAACGTTACGATTCCCGTGGCTGGTTGGCTCACAAGATAATGTTTCGTTCCTGCCTCTTGACCACTCAACCCAATCATCTTCAGGTAAATAAATATCATCATTCAGACCAAACAATCAATAAATTTGATTGTGGTAACGACTTTTGTATATTAGATGTGATCAATTAAAATGTTCACAATACCAATAACAATGTATATAATACGCCGAAGTTTAGAGCGCGATTAATACAAATTTTGATGTAATTGAATTTCATGTACGCTTACAACTTATGACATGTTATTTGGAAGTAATGTATTTTACCTACATTTTTGCTTGACGCTCACATTACGTAGTTTCTAAGCATTTTCATCGTACCTGATAAATAAATGGTACCTAATTCTACTCACAACCTAACCGTATTTCTTTGGCTATTTGAACTCCATTCATTTACTATAAAGATGGTCGGATTCCTTTGATCGATGGTTCATACGAGACAGAACCACAGGCAAAAATTACTGTTGCTTTTGGGAAATGAACAAGAAAATAAAATGCAACAAGACTATTAGGTTTACAATGACATATGATTACGTATTTTCATTGCGAAATTATTCATTATTATTCTCGAAAATATCAGAAAAGATCATAATTATGTCTTCATTTGAAACGTCCAGAATTGAAAACTTGGTATTCGATGCTATGCAGTACCAGGATCAATATTAGAGTGGCAGGATCCAGCGAGAGGCGTACACCAAATGAAACGATAGATCAAATATCTTGAAGTAGAATACAAATTTAAGCAATTGTAAAATATTAAACATCATTTAACAAATAACCGCTCAAATTTGGCAGTGGTAAAACGCTCGTTGTACGCAGGTAAAATGCTAGTTGTGCGCAATTGAAAATGCTCTATACAGAACCTCATTGTGTACAGATACACTGCTTGTTGTGTGTAGGTAAAATTAATAAGTAGAATGAGCGTTGTGTGCTAACAATATCTGTTCGTTGTGTGCCGGTAATGTGTTTGGTATTGTTTGCATCAGGTAAAATGCTCTACCGAACCTCTGGAGGCGCAGATTATGAGAGAGCAGCCATCGTGTCAGAGCCGCTGCTCTTACCTCGGGCGTGTGTGAGGTTCTTTTTCTATGCATATCCTTTCAAAGGTCGGTTCAATATACATTTTCACAGAATTATTTATTCAAAATTATTTTAATTCAAAATTATTTTAATTACTTACAAGTATGTTTTTTTGTAATTGAAAATTCTCAGAGAATTGTTTTTCAATAATGTTGATACTTATTATTCTGAATTGGTGCAATTTGTGAAGGAATTTTGGGCCTTGTCCCTATCGATTGAATAAAAGTTCTTGTTTGGGTCATTTTGGAATATTCACTGTGAAAACACTGCAACATATGTCGTGTATAATGCATATTGTGTAAAACTTCCCAGCGCAAAAAATACAAGTTTTCAAAAAAATGCATCACCGCCCTGATGAGCTCATCGGTGAGGTCACCTCGCCCCTTGCCAACTGGTTGGCGCTAAGGTACGCCTAATTTTAACTTGGATTTTTTCATTTTTTTTTATTTTCTTAACTGCATTCTCATACAATTAAAAGAAAAACTAGCAAATAACTAAAACTTAATACTAAAACTTAATTCATATATAATTTTTGAATAGCATCTTTTAATATTTGTAACGGGATAGGGATAGCATGTTTTAATATATGTCGTTTTCCTTTTCTAAATACTCTTTCAAAGAAATTTAAACATTCCAATGAGAATGCAGCTCGCTTAGTTGTGTCCTAATATATTAGAAACCCCTTATTCGTCTCCACTTCCTCGAATTCCTAGAATTCAATATTCCATACATAAGATGGTTGCTCAAATTTCCTAGCAAACCATACTCACATTTTATCTTATTCCCATTAATCCCATTTCCTATATTCTTAAGATTCTATGTTGAAGAGAACGAAGAATGGCAGCTAAAGTTCGTAGCTGAAAGTATGCTGAACGAGAACTCGTTGGTCGCCATCGATGACGTTGTTGTGAGCACGCTACCGTGTGATGAGCGCACGAGCTGTGACTTCGAAGAAAGTATTTGTCTTTGGGAAGATGACTCAACGCACATGTGGGCAAGAGGTGTGGAGGAAACGAAAAAGTCCTATAATCTAATGAAAATTATCACACTAACTTATTTTTTATTTCGTCTTTAAATTTGACTCTAACTAATTGCCACGTTTTTCTTGACTTCGTTTCGTGTCCGTCTGTCATCAAAAATTCAAACCTTAATTTAGAGCACTTCTAAACATCTTAGGAAGTTGAAATTTGGCATGCATGCTTATGCTGCCTAACAATCCAAGATTTGATCATCAGAAATTATAATTTGAAAAAAATTTTTTGTTTGAAAAATATTGAAAAAAAATCACTAAAAATTCACGGTTTGGAATTGAGTTTTTTCACGAACATCCACACTTGCCAACCCTGGAAATTGATTTGAATTGCTAAAATTGCTAACTAAAAAGTAGAAAATAAATAAATATAAGAAATATCTTTAAAAACCACGTTTTACTGGTTTTTACAAAACTAAAAATAATGAAATAAAACATATAAAAAAAACTTTAAAAAAACACGTTTTCTTAACGGACAAAAAAGAAAAACATTTACTCGTACATAACATTACATAACATTTTACATAACTTAAATGTTATGTAAGAGTAAATGTTTTTCTTTTTTGTCCGTTAAGAAAACGTGGTTTTTAAAGTTTTTTTATTTGTTTTATTTCACTATTTTTACTTATGTAAAAACCAGAAAAACGTGGTTTTTAAAAATATTTTTTATATTTATTTATTTTTCGTTTCTTTGCAAAGGGAAAAATGAGCTTCGTTTTTCTTCTATCTCTCTAGTAAATTTCGTGAGATGAGAATCAGTCTGTATTATATATTGTAACTCTATTCAAACATAAAATCTCACCTACGCTAAGAAAAAACTAAATTTTTTAGCTCAATAATAAGCAAATTTGGTTATTGGAAATCATAGTTTTCATTGTTCACTTCTATCGATTCAGCGGAAATTCCATTTTAGCGCATTTTCTCATTTATGGAAAAAAGGCACTATTGTGCTCGCCATGTCCGTCCGTCCGTCCGTCCGTCTGTCTGTCCGTCTGTCTGTCTGTCTGTCTGCCTGTCTGTCTGTCTGTCCGTCCGTGACTTCACGTTTTCGTCGACTAGAAAATGCGCTCTCTGTCACTCACTGCAGTGAGTACCGAGTTATATTTTTTTCACCATCGTAATACCTTCACAGGAGTGATCCGAGACAACGACGCCTTATCTCCGGGCTTCAGCTATTCGCCCTCACATGATCACTCCACAGGCACGGAATTTGGGGCCTACCTTTATTTTTACGACCAAACAAATGCCTCGTCTTCTCAAGAAACAGTTGCCAGAATTATTTCTGAGACTATTCCACCTTCCGATGAGCAGCATTGCTTCGAAGCATGGGTTTATTTGAATGGAGACAATGTGAGAGAAAAAATTTGCTTATATTATTCATCAAAAATATACCCAATAATCATTTGGCGTTCTGATTTACTAGGCAGGAGAAAACGTTTGTTAAAATGTTGTCACCGCGTTTACTTGCTCATGCAGTGGCACTGTTTTTCTGTGGTAAACTCAAGGAAAATCTTTATGTTTTTCCGCTTGAACAAATTTTCCTTTAAAAGTATATTTGATGAATTAATCGTAATACTTACCTATTGAAATTGAATTAGTATTCGTAATTAAAACATTTACTGATTGTTCACATAAGTCCATATTTTCAAGGTTGGCGAGCTGCGTGTTAATTTCCTGTATCCTGATGGAAGTAATTCGGTGGCTGAAATTATTGACCCTGGCCTTGAGGTGGACAAGTGGCGTAAAGTGCAGGTTTGCTGGAAAATACTCAAATAAAATCTAATGACCATTTGCTTGTTAATACTCCAACCATTTCTTGTATAAAAGGTGGTACTTTTTGTGGAATAGAAATTGTTGAATATTTTTCTAAAGTATTTTACTGTGACGTTCAGGTCGCCGACGATGCAAGCCAGCATTGGATTTACTTCGAAGCCCGGGGCTCTGGAGGACCTGTGGACATAATGGCAGTCGACAGCACTGCTCGTCACCAGGGAAATTGTACAATTTTGTCTCAAGATTTTGTTTGTGAAAATGGGAAGACGATATCGATGGATCAGGTAAAATTTCGACAACTTTTCGTTCTTATATCTCGCAACCCAACAATGCTTCAGGAAAGTTTAAATAAATCCAAATAATTTTTTTGCTGGCACTTCGTGCAACTTTTTAATTATTATCCTCTAAATAAATTATACATGATCAGTCATAAATATGATTTTTCCTGAAATTTCGCCCCCGACTTCCGTGCGATGTTTTATCAAGGACCAACTATCTCTTTATACCCCAGCACATTTCCAGCCAATTAATTCAAATTTAATGTAAAAATATGTTCTTTCCACACTAATGAGCGATGGATAATACAGGTGTGTGATTACAACAGCGACTGCAGTTTAGAAGAAGATGAGACCGTTTGCGCCACTTGTTATTTTGGTGTTGACAAATGTGGCTGGAGCGCCGCCGAGTCGATGAGCTCTCCCAGCATGTTCTACTGGGACTTCGAGCCGCACGGTGAGCTGGAATACCGGGCCAGTCCCTCCTAAAGAGGGTTTTGTAGATGATGACGTAGCCTAATGGTATGAGTTATTTGCCAGTTTTTGGGATCATTTGATTGTAAATTCTGAGTCCTTTGGCTTAGATTCATTCACAACACTAAAAAGCAAACGATGAGTCAACTTGATATGAAATTTCTCGAAAGAATTTAGATTTAATTGATAATTATTATTGTCACTCGTGGAGGGTTCCATCCATATTAAATGTTTCGATAGGTATGTAGATAATGTAATAAGGTAACGCATAGCCTTATGAGCGTTACTCAACACATGCATTTGTTTTCAATGACGATGCAAATATTAAGATTATAGCAATTCACGCAGGTATGATAATGCAAGAGAAACGTTCAGCGATGAAAACATAAAAATTTTGAAATCAACAAATGATGGCAATGCATTTCCGCGGTTGATCGGAAAACGCTAATAACAAAGTTAATCACTCTATTGAAAATTCTACATCCATGATTCTTGAGCAGGAATTGACGATAAGGTCGGGATGGTTGCAACAAGAACAAAATCCGCTGGTTTTGAAGAATTCGACGCTCACCTGTATACACCTGAGACTCAACAATCAACCTACTATACATGCAGCCTTTACATTCAGTACAAACTCAATGGTCCAGCTGAAACAGGTGATCATAACCTGTTTCAGCCAAATGTCATCGTCATTGTTTCTAATAATTAAGATGAAAAAAATGTGAGAAATCGAGAAAAATACGAAGCCCAAGGTTGAGTGCTTTGAATCCTGGTCTACTACTATTTGTTTTCTGTGCTAGTCTGAAGTTTTTGCAGTGCTTGCCAGAAGTTTCATTTTTATATCATTGTTTCTTTGTTTCTCGAATAATTACTTATAAATGATTGCTTTCAATTCTCCCCAATTGCCTCCAGCACCTAAGCTGGAAGTAAACATGCAGAACGACGGCTCCAGTGATTCTACGATGCTGTACATAGCTAAGGGCATTTCCGAAAATTGGCAAGAGTTTAGAATACCTCTCGGGCATGTCGCTGATCGCTTTAGACTGGCCGTAACCTTCAAACCCAATCACAAGACTACTGAAACTGAAAACTTGGGGGCGCAGGTCGAGAGAATTCTTCTGGAGAACTGTGATATTGTGAAGGAAGTTGTTGATACACGTTCAGAAGGAGAGTTTTTCCACTGCGCTGATAATCGAACTTGCGTTCCTTCTGCGGCCGTGTGCGACTTCAACGAGGATTGCCCCGATGCTTCTGATGAGGAGTTCTGCGGTAAGTTTACCTTCATTAAATTGCTGTTTCCCATTTTATTATTGTTAAGCGAAATTCCACAGCTTAGGTTAAATCATGGTAGGGTGAATGACTGAAAAATTTTCTCTCATTGTCCATTCCTGAAAATTTATAAATCATTTATATCGTTTGTAAATCCTGTCACGCGTCAACTGTTCTATAGATGTTTTCTTTTAAACGTTCACATATTTTCTGGTAAGATGAATATTTTGATTTTGAAATAAATTTAATTTACATATATTCGCTTTAATTTCAAAGTTATGTCCTGACAAATTAAATTATACGTTTAAAAATATGTGAATTCAATATCAGTTAACCTCTGAATTCTATTGCAGCCGTCGAGCGATGCTCGTACGAAGACCGATACGAGAAGTGCATGTGGCAGAACAAAGGCTTTACGCGCGTCACAGCCGGCAAGACTGGGAAGTTGCCGTACAGAGACCACACCGTCAACCAGGGCTCTGGTTCTTACGTGCTTGATGAAGAATCCGATTTTATTCCCATGATCTATTCAAACAACGTTGAACCATCTCAAGATTGTGAGGTGCGTAATCGCTGTTACGACGAAGTAATTTTTCTTTATAGTGCAGAACTATTTCTCAATTTTGATGTGTATACATCTATGTTATATACATATGTAACTTAAATCGTCTCAGGGTCTTTAAGTGAGTAGACCTGTTGAGCTTCATAAGATTGGTCAATTTTATAATGAGAGATCTTGCCTAATAATGCCAAAGTTCATATTGCATCCTTATTATTCTGCTTGGTAAACTTTAAAGATTTAATTCATCTTTTGCAGCCAAGATATGCCCCTTATTCAATTATTCGACATTCACGTAGATTTTTTTACTCCATGAAAATTCTTTATATTTGAAATATGATCCCATGTTTAAAATTTTGAAACCAGCAATTAATTATTTTGTGCTTTTATTTATCAGTTTGGATTCTACTCGAGCCTTTCGGGCAACCTGAACGTCAAGTTGGTCATCGAAATCAAGGAAGTGCCATCGCAGATCACGATTCATACGAGCGAAGTTGTTGCTCCTGCTCGGGAGAACTTCGGCTGGCAACGTACAACAAGAATATTCAGCTCAGAACAGACGACGCAGGTCCCTATTCATTGAATAATATTTTCTGAATTGTAATCTAGTGAAAATTTTTATCGACACATATGAATGCGTAATTCAAGTGAAACAAATATACAGTATATATTGAGCTTTAAACTAAAAATATTATTATTACCCAAAAATTTGACAGATCCGCATCATCGGGCTAAACAAATGGAGTGAAGGAGTTGTTGCCCTGGACGATTTCTTCGTGTCGCCCAAATGCAAGATCGGCACTGCAGTGACCGACCCTCTGGACTACAGCCATACCTTCTACTGCCAACCGTCGCAGTTTGAGTGTGAGACCTGCATAGATTACACTAAAGTGAGCTGCTATTATTTAGAACCTTTCATTTTCAAATATTGTGTAGTTATATAGGGACTTTAATGAAATATTCGATAATTTAAATCATTACGTTCTATCGACGATATTTTTTTAGGATGTGATGTTACAGTAGATTGAGTACAACTTTGTGGTTTTTGCTTGTCGGTCTAGTCGTCTAAATTACATTGTCATTTTTAAAAATTGATTAGCCGAAGAAAACTTTTTCGTCACCTGAAATTCTGCCAATGTTTCAATATTTTCACTAAATAGAATAGAAAAAATATGATTATTCTACTTCCATGGCTGTCAAAAACCTCTTTCTTATCCTAAATAAATTATAATGATTTCTTCTGCATTAAAATCGTTCATTATGCACGTAAATTTAGAATATAACCTTTTTCTGCATATTTAAATGCTGATTTCCTTCAGCTTTTGGTGCATTGCCTTCCTCTATCCTATGCCTTCAAGGTTTGCGACTTTAAAAGTGACTGCAACGACGGTAAAGACGAACGTTCTTGCGGGTCCACTAATTTCAAAGACGACGCTGGCAGCTGGCAGGACGCGAGCATCTCTGCATATCACTGGGAGCGAGCAAGTGCCCCCGAGATAGGCTCCTCTGCCCCGCCCCAAGACCCCCTCAACTCTGGCGACGACCACTACATGTGGCTTGCTGCACGTGGAGCAGGTCGGGCAGATGCATGAGGCATTACAAAATATTCGTTAGCGTTCACATCAACCAAAACAACATTATTTGTCCAGCATCTTTATTTTCAGTCTAATTTGGAATGTGATTGATATGGATAATAATAGGATAGGTAACAAAATCAATTAAGGGCTATTAAACTGTCTTAAAAGCGTCAATTTTAAATATTATGGTAAATGACACAATTCGTACCGTCAATGAAACTTATGAATGGTATCATTGCGCACAAATCATTATGTATCATTAAAAACCAGATGATATTGTCAGAAATGCTTCTTTTTTGTATTCATAGAATAACCGTACCGGCAAAAAAATTTCACAGAAGTCATCTAATCAATTTAATTCATAGGATTAAAAGACCCTTGGGTGCATTGGTGATCATGTCTACAGAGAGGTGGTCCTTTATTATAAATATAGTCTTTAAATATATGTACTGCAAAACATCCCTGAAATTATTCCCATAAGTCGTAAAATATTTCGTCCTAAAGGAACCCCCACAAATTTCGCGACCCTCGTTGGCCCTGAGATGGGCCCGACGGCTCTGCCATGTACCTTCTCGTTCTACTCGTACGGCCACGACACCATCCCCTCGATGTACGTCTATGCCGAGAGCGCAGGTCCTATCATGAGAAGACTTCTCTACGAGTTCGTCTACGTCTTCCAGGCTAACCAATGGCAGCATCATGAGATCCACATCGGGGAGCAATCTGACAGATTTCGGGTCAGTTCCTGTGTTTGCCTTATGCCATTTATTCGAAATTAATTCTGCCAATTTTTCGTGAATATGTATCTAGGCTGTAAGCAACAGCAAAACAATATGATAGAAGAAATAAGTTAATAACCTCGCTAAAGCTATAATCAAAATACGACCAAGGAGTCAATGATTATATGTTTGAACATCAAGTTCATAAACATGCAATCGTACAATAAAGTAGATGACTTAATTATTCAATGTTTGAATCATGAACTTCTCATTGGAGAAATATTTCCCGTCGAAAAATTTATTAAACCCCATGGAAGAGTTTTTATCAGTCAGTTTTTTTAATTGGCTGTAGTGATCAATTACCTGTCATCAACATTGATAAAATTTCTTACTGCAGTTTTAAAAATTCATGTGCCAACTCATTTAAAAAGGCTGACTGAGCTGAGGCAGATGTCACCCTAATTCCCAAATTTTGAAGTAGGTCAAATTTTTTGACGAAAATCCAGCACCCAGGATTTTTGAAACGTCAATAAGTTGAATCCTATTTTTAAAGGGCCCTTTGAAGTGGGTTCAGCTAATGATAATGATGTAGCATACCAAGCAGGCAAAGGGAGAGGTGATTTGTGCTCACCACACTCAGCTGCGTAGTTATAAAATGCACCCTAAATATAGATCTGATCATCCTGTGTACAAAGAAATGATGCATGGAAATCAGTACTTTGGAGGGATGGCAATTGGCAATAATGTACATGGTGCAGTAGCAAGCGATCTATTCAAAACTACAATGTGTTTTTCGTTTATTCTTTTTCTTGTATTCACCTATTTAAATAGGTGGGCTTCAGGGTTCTAAAAGAAGGCTATATAGCTGCCGATGTGAATTTCGATCTCTTCTTGGATGACTTCTCTTTCGTTGGATGTTCAACAGAGGAAGCTCCTAGAAATGTGAGAAAATACTTTGTTTATATCATTCCATAATGTTTTTGTTTTACAGTTTTAGTGATAGTATTTAAGATTCTCAAATCGATTAAGGCACGTTTGCTTGCGAAATAAGAACTTTTCTGGAATTCTGATTTAGAATGTATTAATTTGTTCCGGTGTACTTATAAATTTGTTTTGTGATTTTATTGCTCAGTGACTTATTAAAACTGCTCATAAATGCTCAATTTTTTGCGCACATAAATCCATTCTACAAATTGCAAATAAACTTATCAAATACATTGAGACTATATACTATGAAGTAGCCTTGAACAGTTTTAATTTAGCAAATCGTCCGTTTTCCAACAGGGAAGCTTCGAGTGCACCTTCAGCTCGCCCTGCTCTGACTTACTTCAAGCAAATGACGACTCCGCCGACTGGATCCCAGAACTCGACCTGTTCACTCTCAGTTAGTGACAAAATAATTTCATGTTCCTATGGAAAGCTTGGCACACTGTGAATGCTTTTGTTCATGGAACTTTATGAAAATAATACTAATTCTTATTCATATAGTCATTTTTCAAAATGAATCCACTTTCATTGCCCAACTGATTTAAATTTGTCAAAATTCTCGTTGTAGTTATAGCCTCCGCAAATCCTTTGAATTTGACATTGCAGGGTCATTTTAACCAATTGATACCTAAGAAATTTCAATTAATGCGTAAGAAATAAATATACTCCATGACTACAAAAGTTGCATTTAATTTCTCGCATCACATGTTTTCATTGCAGACGATTATTTGCGCCTCCAATCACCATCATCACAGGAGGTCATGGCGGATTTAAAAACCTGGTACCGCACACCGACCAGACAGTCATGCTTCTCGTTCAGGTGCTGATGCGTCACTAATTTCTTAATCTCTTAATTATTCGTTTCGTTAATGTGAAAACATGCATTTTCCTGCTTCCAAACACCGCGCTATAATCCATTCGATTGACAATTCCCTAAAAATTACGGCAAAAAATCAAAATCACTTCACGGTTTATTGCGTATTCGGAACACAGATGAAAAAAAAATGGCTAAAGCTTGCTAGTGCCTTCATCTAGTCCTGGACAATTTTCTTCCAAGTGTAATAAACCGAAAATAAATATTCCAAAAATTCAAAATAAACTATCGAAAATGAAAAAGTTTGCACTGTGACAAAAATATTGGTGTAAATTATTTGTAAGGTTTAAGGGAACACAATTTGAATTTTAATCTTTTGAAATCAACAATTTCACACACAGGTATAAAATAGTTGGAGGTGCTAGTTTATTCGTCATTTTTTCTGACGAGTCTGGCAAGAACGAAACCCTGTGGCAGCGGCTCCATGAGGTGGATTTTGTCGACTGGCAAAAAGTTCACTTGGAATTTGGGTCTTCTGATAACAATTTCCAGGTGCGTCGTATCTATTCCGAATTGAAATTTAATTATATCTCATTACTTGTAGCTGACTTCGTTATTGTATCAAGTTTTCAATTATCTTATTAATTTCATTATGTGGTTTTATTCGTTGGGCTCGTATTAGCATTTGGGCTCTTTTAATTTCAAAAGATGTTTACGTAAGAAAGACTTTTCGATAAAATCACTAAACAAATCTTCGCTTAGTAAGTTATCCAAATATTACTTGTGCGTCGCTGCCTATATATTTGGTAATTCCACAATGAACTGAAATATCATCGTTCAAAAAACTTTGCGAAAATTTCAGGCACTGCGAATAATTTGTGATGAAAATTTCTGTTTTATAGCTTGTTCCACAATATAGTTCCCGACTATTAAAGAGTGCTTAGTTACTTAAGCTAATAGGTAAATCATCTGTCAGAGTTTTCAAACATCTGTTGGCATGTAGGATACCCTGTTGTGAATACTTTGTACATTAAGAAGATAAAATTATTATTATAAAGAAAAAATTTGTTCAATTAAAAAGTCGGGAACTTTTTTGTGGTACATACTTTACAACGACAGAACAATTTACCCACTTTCCAGATGACTATCAGAGGCAAAACACACAGCACAGAAGAAGTCACACAATACATCTGGCTGGACGATGTAGGGCTTAGAGACGGTCCCTGCCCAGCTGACCTGACGTGCACGTTCGAGGAGGGCGACTGCGGCTGGCACAACGACACGGTGCCGGAACAAGAGATACCCTGGCTCATCGTCAGCTCCGACACCAACACGTCTCTTTACGACCCACCGTGAGACAAACTGTTAATGAAATTAAAATGAATTAAATGAAGCCTTTTTATTGTTTTTAAATTCACCATTAATTAGCAATTAAATCAAATTAATGATACGAAAACTTGAGAGTATTTAAGCATGAGTATTACCGTCATTTAAATTTTATTTTATGAATGAGATCACTGAGAAATTAAATTTACTATGGCTAAAAGTTGACTTTATACTGACTAGAATTCAATTTCGTATGAGTTGCATATATCTAAAGATTATTGATGTTTAATTTCAATGTTCTCCAATGGTAACAACTCATATTTTTCACACATAATAATGCCGTTGAAGATTTTTTTCCATCGAAAGTCTGCTATCTATCATACAAAGGGCACTTATTAGTTAAACTGAACACTTTTTACGCTGACCTAATAATTAATGGTAATAAAGTTAATTTCTTATACCAATTCCACATTTTACATGTGCATCATTTGACATATTATAATTATTGAAGATAATACATGATCACGTGCGATGAGTTTGAACTAAAAAAATCAGCTACATTCAACACCATTTATATGATCAGATGGTAACATGATTCTCCTAGGAAGGTCTTAATAATTACATTTTTTATAAGTAATATCGATTAGAAAATAACACCCTCCATCATGCATATAAATAGTGTTCAGTTCATTCTATCTATACTTACCATACCTAAAATTCGAATATCCAAATCCTGCCTAAATTCTAATTCGCTGAATTGAGAAAAACAATAAGAAAATTGTTAATAAAGACTACTTTCTGGCATTCAATGAAACATGCATTAAATAATTACCATACTATGCACCATTCGAATGGTTCATAGACGTCGCTCTATTCGTATTGTCAGGGCTGACCACTCGTGGATGACGGCCGCTGGTCACTACGCCATGATTGACGTCCAGGACGGGCAGGCTGGGAAAAACGGGCGATTGCGAAGCCCGTTGAACCGCCCTACCTCTGCTGGTGGCGACTGTTTCAAATTTTGGTACTACCTCTACGACGCGGGGTGAGATTTTGAGTATGTTTTTGCCTAAATTTGTCGAATTCGTTTCGTCAACACTCAGGAATAAACTATTCGGAAAACGCCGCAAATCAGCCTGTCCGAAGTTTTATTGGCTACCATGCACGTGAAGTTAACCATGTCGACGTTTTTTAACATATTCAATCCAAATTATATTTGTAAGAAACGGCGACGGGTTTCAATTTCAAACAACGGCTGGCCAAGAGAACGCCGTTCAGTCCATTTTCTCACCGTTATTTCGAACTGTGCAGTTGATATTTACTGAGATAAAACCGTAGAGTTCACTGAATTACCGAATTGAAGATTACTGACTGTTTTGGTAATTTAAGCTGCAAAAAGTGAAATGTGTTATACGCTTCAGAAACACTGAGAGCGGCGTCGGAGAACTTACGGTTCTTCTTGACAAAGGAAACTTGGATGAAAAGTTATGGTCTTCCTCCGAAAATTCTAGAGCCGCGTGGCAACTGGCCCAAGTTACTGTCAAGTCTGCGGCCAATTTCTCGGTGAGTTAAAAAGACGAGTTTCAGGATGTTTGTTGTTATGACGGTTCGTTCGCTAGTAACATCGAAGATTTTATCGGTATGGAAGAGATTGTAATTAATATGAGTTGTCAATCTTAGTATCAAATTTTTATGTTGTTGAAAAATTATTTGCTGAAAATTAACAGAGTTGAATGACATGCCAACTAGACTAGACTAGAATGACATGCCAACAGAATTTTTTTCCAAATGAATAATTTTCTTTGACGAAAAGTTCATTACACTTCATTTTTATTTTTATTTCTGTGTGAATCGATTATTTCTTACTATCAGATTTGAACACAACGCAACAATTATGCACTAACTCATTTAATGATATGTGCGTTCGCACATATCAGAAACAGGCTTGACATTTTTTAAATTTTTATCAATTGAATGCTTTAGAACAAGTACGAGTACGTTCATAAATTATGTCCTTCTTTTCTCTTCTTTCCGTAAAAAGAACAAATAAGCAAGAACCATACACGCACTCGCAAACAAATTACAAAACAAATATTACAATAACATAATTTTTTATACCATTCTCGAATATTTTTTTCAGCTCGTTATTGGTGCCAATAGACACGAATCGAATGCTGGCACAATGGCTGTTGACGACCTTACCATCGATTTCGATCCGTGCACCAACGTAGTAGATTGCGATTTTGAAAACGGATTGTGTGGCTGGACCATTGATACTTCGACGAGCGTTCCCTGGCAGCTCTTCATGGCACAAGACAATTTCGGCTTCGTGGAAGTTGACCACACGTTAAACAGTGAACTCGGTAATATTTATTCTAGTGCCGTCGAAATAGTTAGCCGTGTAACTACTCCACTCAACTTCTCAATAATTTTGTTTAATTATGTAGGTACTCACAATAGTTCCTAGTCATCCATGGACTTACTATTTCATCCTAAATATGATTTACTTATCCAAGAGTTCTCTTAGGAATTGATTGGCATTGTCCGCCTTTTCTTTCAACTATTCCATAATGTATTATTGATATTAATATTTTACGAAGCGATTATCGTGGCGACTGGGTCAAACGAACTTCGAAAGCAAGTTACACAAAAGTTTGATAGCAAGCGAAAAATAAAAAAACTTGAGAAAGGAATAAAACGAATAAAAATCACTAATCACTAGATTCATGGGCTTTACGAAATAGTTCCGTCCTTAGGCGTCGACGAAACGCCGGAAACGAAGGAGCCGATGTTACGGAAGCCGGCAGACTGTTCCGGGTTCTGGTAGCGAGACCAGGAGCGCTCTGTAGCAAAACGTATCCAAATCCCTTATCCTCGTGAAGGAAAAACAACAACATTTCGATTTCAAAGGATAAACTTTTAATTACAAAGTAATTTGAAAACTGTAATAAAAACTATTTTTTGCCAAAATTTCAATTAAGACAATCAAGTGACGACTCGTTTCTGCAGGTTAATTAATTTCCCATTTCAGCAGACAAGTAATGACTTATTTCAGCAGGTCGAATCGTGACTCATTTCTGCTAGTGGAGTTATAACTAATTTCTGCAGGTCAACAACTAACTCATCTTTGCAGATTAAATAATGCCTCATCTCTCCAGGTCACTACATCTCATTCGACAGTCGACCCTGCCAGGGCAGCTCACAGGACTGCACCGCGACGCTCACCAGCGCTGAAGTCAACCCATTCATTCCGACTTATTGTTTCTCCGGCTACTGCTTCGCCTCCAACCTCGACGGTTAGCTAGTCTATACTATCATTGATCTCTATGCACATAATATAACTGTGAAGAAATTCCCCTTGCACTCAAAAAATAATTAAAAAATTGTGAGTTTTTTTTCTGGTAGCGATACACTTTTAGCCTTCGTGTGGGTCATTCAGACCCAGTTTGGTACGTCAAAAGGGCATATTTATGCTGCGTGCGGGAAATGTGTCAATACCTGTACAATATTACCTATTCACATATCTGAGTGCGTAATGCCTGTTCGCTCATAAGCAACCTTGAACCTATCGTACTTTATTGTCCCGAACACTTTAATTCGACGAATCTAAAACATATATCACATTATATCCATAATTTTTAGTCTGATTTTTCGTATTTATCTGCGGCTCTGAAACTGCCTCAGATAAATAAATGCCCGCTTGGAGAATATTGAGCAGACATAGATTCTAACCAACTCTTTATTTTAGAGAATACTTTCGTTAATTAACCTAATGCGGTCCCTTCAACAATATTAAACATTATTAATCACATCGTTGTCTATTCGGGTTCCACAGAAAATAGCACAGTCAGCCTTACGGTTCGATCACTCACAAGCAACGATTCGTACACGGTGTTCCCGATACCAACATCTGTCAGCAATGAAGACGCATGGCTCCCCTTCTCGGTCACCCTGACTGAGCTCACATACACCTTCCAGATCTCGCTGAGGGCTTTCGCCTCAACGCTTCCTGTAGAAGAGCAGAGAAGTGAGTGTTCTAGGAGAAAGGGCTTATTGTGTTGTTGGAGATCTGTGCAGTTTGCGTCGAACTTAAAAAATATACTTGACGACTGCATCCCAGGTAATGATTTGTGGGGTATAATTATTTAAATCCAAAACTCAGTTTTCGCCAACGATTTCATATTCATTTCCTACGTTTCTATTATTCCATCTTTATTCCAATTTCTTCTGCAATTTTTATCCTCTAGGTTGATTAATTTCTTAATTATTTTTGATTAGTGGTCATCATGCTGGACGATCTTTTGCTGGTGTCTGGCGCGTGTGGGGAAGTTACCACCCAAGCGCCCCCTACGACAACCACCATGATACCCTTCGTTGACTTGTTCACCTGCGACTTCGAAGGTGGCGACGCTTGTGCATGGACTGTGGACGACGGCTGGCTTCTGACAAATGGAGAAAACGAAAAGCTCGTTCCATGGGGTCCTTTCTCTGACCACACAACTGATCTCTCTTCAGGTGGTTAGATTTATATTTCACCAACTAAAAATTAACTCGAATTTTTTAACTATATAAGCCTGACGTTCTCTACAGTGGGATATGCTGCATCCGGTAACAGTGAACGTTGAACAAATGTGATACTGTTTCAGTTATTATAAAAATGGTACAATGCCTGACATTGCGACAAATTCATCTTCATCAGGGCATATGCTGGTGATATCGGACAGCGGATCATCCATACAAAATGTTGAGGTGACATCGTCCTACGTTACCATGCCTGGTGATGGGATCTGCTTTTCCTTCTACTACTTCATGCATGGAGAAGCAGACCTCCTTCTGTCACTGGTGGTCGATGAAGGTTTGTGAATGCTTCGTATCTGTAAAGTCATTACAAAGGATTACCTGACAGCAGGAAATATCACAATGCTAGGGACGCACTCCAACTAAAAAGAAAAACAAAGCCATCTTCGTCCCTGCATTATTCAGCCAAGTGATCATATAGGTCCATCCATTAGCCACAGTGAGAACAAGTTTTCTTAATAATCTTTATTGCCAAGTATGAACATAAGAACTAATGACAAACTGTTACTGAGATGGTTACTTGAATCAAGACTATTACTGAGACTCCTGAAATAAAATAACAAACAAGAATAAATATCTAGCAAAGAATCGACATGGACATAAATATTGATCATAATAAGAAGCACGAAATTTGAGCATTAAAATTGACACAAATATTTACACAAATTGTACGCATGACAAAAGATAGTAATCCTAGCATCCACTGTTTCCACTGTTCCTATTTACACGAGACGTACCTTACACATCGACGGCAACCACAAGACTAAACTAGGTTCCGCTATTCGGTTAAGGTCACGTCAAACTCTCTCTAAAACAAAATGAAAAATATATATCCTATCCAATCCCTTACAACAATCCTTTTCAGTTCTCGAAAATAGAGCGCCATTTTGAGCTAATACTTTGAGCCCCTTGCAGGGCCATATTGTTTCTCCTCAAGCATTCGCTTTACTTTACCGTCCTTGTATTTAAGCTGTTTTTTACATGAATCGAATTCAACTATTCAAAATCAAAAGTGTGTTTTTTAATTTTTTTATATTTTTCGAATGGACGGATATTTTCCCCAGTCATTTATTTTCTTGCATTGCCAGTAACAAGAATCATGCAAACTCGACGTGTGCCATATTTGCACAACCGAGAAATTAAACTTATGATTTAAATTTTTCCATCTAGATAAAAAGAGTGAGAGTTTCCTGGCTTGGCAGCGCGAAGGTGAAGTTGACAACGACTGGCATCAAGCATACTACTATGCAATTCCGGAAGAGGGAAATGTCAAAGTGAGGATAATTTTCTCGGCCGGTTATTTAACCGTCGACAACCGGACTGGAAACATAGCCATCGACGACATCGTTGCCCATGCTGGCGAGTGCGCTGAGCAAGGTCAGTCTGCTTACTTTTAACCATTTTTTCAAAATTTATCTCACTTTAATCCATAGTTAAAAATCTTCAACCTGATATTTATTTGCACATTAATGTGTATTTCTACCAACACTAACTGTGTCAATTTAATATGAATAAATTCAATCTACGAAAAGAATAAAAAGAATTACAATATTATTTCCCTGGTGCATGCGTTGACCAGCAAGTTTCGTTTAGATCACTGCGACTTCGAAGATCACAAATCATGCGGCTGGCAAATGCCGGCGGAAGGCAACGCTCTGGCGTGGCTTGATGCAGACGGACTGCAGGCTGATGCATCTCCGGAAATTCCAAGCTATGATCACACTTACGGTGACTGCTGGTTTATTCTTGCTGAAGTAGAAAAAAAATTATTCACAAGAAACTTTCTCTCTCATGAATTTTGTTTATGAGGAATAAATTATCGTTAAATTAGTCTAAAAAATTTCTGGAAATGGTTTTTATGATAATTGAGACGAATATTTCAGAAAATTTAAACTTCAATCGACAGGGTGTCCCAATTATTTTTAATCTTGATAGAATTGTTTAAATATTGACGTAGCAACGAGTAATACATTTTAAATGAATTTCAATGCCAATACTGAGATCGTTTGATTTTCCATCCCTTGCAAGTTTACTTTGCAGATTAATTACAACTATCATTCCACCATTTATAAATTGTATCATTTAATTCTATCGGATTATTAGCCAGATTCACAGGTCCTTCTGTTTCACATCCTGTTATCGCACTAATTTTGCATGATCTCAGGCACAAGCAGAGGGCGGTTCTTGTACGTACATCACCTGACTGCAGACGATCTGTTGTACCCGCGTGCCTATTTGTACAGTCCTGCTCTCAGCGCTTCAGAGAACACTCTGTGAGTATTCGCAAATGTTCGGCATAAACGAATTTAAAAACTGAAGGCATTATTCGCTGTTCGAGTGAGGAATTCTTTAGAAAGAATTTGATAAGTTTTTATTTTGCAAGAATTTGCACAATAAATATTGCATATTTTCAAAGTAATTCAAGCTAAATATAAAATTGCCTAACCCTTATAGCACAGCAAACAAAATTACAGCACTAAGTTTTCATTTTTGTCTCTTTCAAGAGCTGTAGAAGTTTTCAAAAGACTCACATGGTCTGACAAGAGATACAATTCCAACCGCTCACTCACCAATACTGCAAACCTTAGGATTTTTGAATACCCTCTGACATATTGGTTTTATCCACTACAAATTTCGTAATTGAAGTGGCCTAATTGCAAGAGTTAAGCGATGTAAATATATAACTTATGCACTTTGATGTACTCGGAATGTTCTCTGGAATTTCTTTCTACTTTAAATCCCAATTTGTCTGCTTGTCTACTACCACATAATCTGGCGTTTATTTTTTACCCCAGCTGCTTAGAGATGTACTACTACATGCAAGGCTCTAAAGACTGGACAGGCTCCCTCTCCGCCTACGTGTTACCATCAGGCATGGACGTAGAAGACGCCACCCCTGTCTGGACAGCCTCTGGTAACCGCGGAGCAAACTGGGCCCGGGCCATTGTGGAAACTCCAGTGGAAGAATCTTTCCAGGCAGGTTCACTGTTCTCTTATTAAGTTGAATTAAAATTAAACTCTTGGAGGTAATTTGAAGATGTAAAATTACTAGTGAAATTGCAATCAATTGTTTGTGAATAATCATGCGTCTAATGAAACGAAGACTTTCAACAGAAGTAAGGAAGAAAAGCCTGTGAAAAAAGGTTTTCAAACATTGATACACGTAGGAATGAATATTCACTCCGAGTTAATTTTGATAAAACGTCATTAATTGTGCAATATGTACCATCAAATGGTAGAAATTTTTTAGAATGAACTAAATTTTTAATCTTGATTCCTGAGAAGTCCGTAGATTCAAGTGTATATTGAAATGGTGCTAGAATTCTTAAACAAACTTTGTCAGTGCTACAAGCACCGATGCAATTCGACGATGTTGATTTTAGGAAGTCGATCAAAACCATGATTATCTCTTATGTACATCACGACTTTTTTGAATTAACAGTTTTTCCTCTGTAATTGGGCTCTTCGAATTTGAACACTTATACTACATGCTGCTAACAATAACTTTAAAATTACCCAAAACATCTCTCTTTTAGATTATTTTTGAAGCGTTTGACGAGGAAACATTGAATGCATCCATCATCGCCCTGGACGACGTGAAGTGGACACCCGGTGAATGCCCAGCGCTGGGCTGGTGCAGCTTCGAGGACGGGACATGCGGCTACACCAACGATCAGACCACGGATGATCTCAACTGGGTGGTGTGGCGTGGCGACGCCACAGACAGAGATACTGGGCCGGCCGTCGACCACACACTCGGCACGGACAGAGGTTCGGACATGCATGGGTTCATAATGGGACCATTGACGCTTGCTTCTAATTGACTTTTGCTGATATACAGAGGACACTAAGATGTCAATGTCCGTCGACCACACACACGGTACGAACATCGGTTGAGAAATAATTGATCAAGTTTAGTGATGCAACCTTATCAAATTTTAAAGGTTAATGTATTGAAGGTTGCGAAGTTTATTAACGCAACTATATCCAAAAGATCTAGAAATTATTCTTTCTATATGCAAAGAGCACTGAGCTCCCAACGCTTGTAGGGCAAGTCGGGAACCTGCTTAACTATTTAGCACTCCCGTAACCGTCGAAAAAGAAGTTATTTATTAAACCACAACGCGTTTAGAAGGATCCATTATGATTTAAACTTGTATTTAATTCAACTTTTCGTGGCTGGCATTTGTTTCATTCCTGTGCTGTTGCTAGTTGAATGACAGAATTAGGTATGACCTCATAAATTATTTTAAATAACATATATGACTAAGCAAATGTACTGAACCCTTGCTTTGTTTAGTGCAATGATCAATAATAGTTATAAGAGAAACATACAGCATATTTAATGTATTGAAAATTTTAAGAAAGTCGTCTGCGTCTATTTTTTTGCATTTACAGACCGATCTTTCTTAAACTTCACACGCAAATGTAAAACACGAATACAAGAACTTTTTGTTTGTATGAAATTTTTAAGAAAATGAAGCAAAACGTGAAATGCATTGAAAACGTATAGAAGAGGGAACATATCCTCATTTAATTCACTTACTACTTCGTCGAAAGACCGAAAGACATGTCATTCGCTTCATAATGAAAATATTCAGCGACTCTATATGTACCGGGTGTCCCAAAAAAGGCGATATTCAACTTTGAATGGCTGTAACTCGAAAAGTACTAGAGTTAAAAAAAATTTGGAAGTTCAGGATTTGTTTCCTATGTTATTCTCCATCTCTCCACCAAAAATCAGACAGATCGAGGTAGCCATAAGCGTTTGATTGGACTTTCTGTGACATGTGCTAAAATCGTGCTTGCGCAAAGTTTTAGTAAGATCATTTTGCTTAATCATTACGTTGTCTTGACATGTTTTCTTTTCGCTGTTTTATTTTTTGTAGCTTTGGTGAGACAAAAACAAAATAGAGGCCTTTTGTTTTTGTCTCACCAAAGGCCTCTATCAAAGGCCTCTATACATGAAAATGTGTATAGAGGCCTTTTTCCAAAATTTTTCTTTTTGATTTGCTTCTTCCATGTTCCATCTCCCCCATAATTTTTAATATATAATTTGAACAATATGTAAATCTTAAAATATAACTCAGTACTCACTGCAGTAAGTGACAGAGAGCGCTTTTTCTCGTCGACGAAAAGTTGAGGTCACGGACAGACAGACAGACGGACATAGCGAGCACAATAATGCATTTTTTCCATAAATGAGAAAATGCGCTAAAAAGGGTACCTAGACTCGCTAATTATTCTTTTTACTAACAGAATGATATTTCTCAAGGGATTTGCATGAAAATTAAGGGAGAAAATAAATTTTAAATGAAGCGCAAAATTATTCCGGAGAGCAAAATAAGTGTAATGGATGGAGAAAAATTAAAGGCTAAAAAATTTGCTCGATAATGTATCATCAGTATTTTTATCGCATGTTTCTCGTATTAAGGTTACCATCCTGCTCCGCATGACTTATTGGTATCCAGTTTAACGCAAATAATTACCTATAAATACCATTTTTTGTTCAAAGAAATTTTTGTAATAAATAGCAAAAATTTTCATTTCTTATAAATTTGAAAGCACACCCCTAAAAACACTAAAGCCTGCAGTAATAGGCTTGCTGCGTTTGACGAGCCTTTTCTGCTGCTACAAATGAGCTCAAAATCAGTCTAATTAATGCGAAAAAATAATCTATGAATACAATTCTCTTAAATAAATCTTTGTACTAGTATAAAAAATGCTCATTTTAAATAAATTTGAAACTTTTTTGCGATTTCAAATACATGCGGTTTGCTGCGTTCGACGCGCCTTTTCGCAGCTACAATTGAGCCCAAGATGCGGAGAAGCCAAATTTTTCGACATTTTGACGTAGACTTGAACAAAAACATTTCCTATTAAGCTATGTTCACATTATTTACTGAACTTGGTGAAACTCTATATATAACATGACAAGTTGTTAGATAGTGAATTAATGGATGTACTAATGTAAATGACAATATTCGTATTGTTCCGTAAATAACAATATTGAATGGAACAAACAATATTCTTCGGTTCCATTATTCAGCATAGAATATTTCTATGAAGAAGTTATGTTAAATTTTTACGTGTACCTAGGGCACTACATGCTGATGGACGCCAGCGTTGGCACAGAAGGACAGCAGGCCATCCTTGTGCTCACCGACATACCGGCGGGCTACTATTGCTTCAAGTTCTTCTTTCACATCTACGGCGAGGACGTCGGAGGTAAGTTCTACTTAATGTTTCGACTTTTTCAACTGTTATATCGATAAGGCCAATAAATTACAACTTTTAATAAAAAATACAACATGACGACGATACTATAACAGGAACGGATAATAATTGCATCAAATACTTCTATTACCTTCAATGATTATGCTTTGACAGTATATACTATTTTTTTACTTCAAAACGTTCGATCACATTCGTTTCGCAGAGCTGATCGGCATTTTGCTGCTCATGCAATACATCAAAAGAATTTTAAAATATTTAATAAGATTAAGAAATGAATTCACACATTGAGCTGATTTTTCCAGAGTTTTTCACGCAGCCCTGTATTGATCACACTTTAAGATATGCTTAATTGGCTAAAGTGTTCCATTACCCATTACCCGTTCTTGATAATCTTTGTGTTCATGCGAAATGAAATCTAGATTATCACTCTAGTATCATTGTCTACAATTTACCAAATTAATAAACCAATATCTATCAAAATTTTGGGTTTATTTATATTAGATTAAGCCACTTAAGAGGCGAGAATATGGTTTTAAATAGGTAATTATTAAACCCTCAACCGCCGTATGTCACTCTCCGAGAACAGAACTTTCAACTTGAATTATACGTAAGCTATTGAGTGTAGCAACCTGAGGACGTTTGTACGCAACAAAGAACATTTTAAAGTAACTTTCAACTTAAATTATACGTAAACTATTGAGTGTAGCAACCTGAGGACGTTTGTACGCAACAAAGAACATTTTAAAGTTGTCGTACGTGGCGGCAACCTTCAGTGCAAGTCATTTTGAGCTCACTAGAACCTATCCTTTTTGGGAAGTAGACTTGTGACAATATTGCTCCGGTTACTCATGTCAGACGGTAGAGGGTTAAGGATGTCGTTCATCAATATCGATATTACTTTAGGTATTTTATTAGCACGTATTGGACGTTTGTATCTATAGTACTTTTATTACTTAAGAATTTATAATAGACCATGCAAGGAATCATTGATCTTATGCTTAACAGGGATTCAATGCGACTGATTCCATATACCTAGCAGGGATTCAATGCAACTGATTCCTTATACCTAGCAGGGATTAAATGCGACTTATTCCTTATACCTAGCAGGGATTAAATGCGACTTATTCCTTATACCTAGCAGGGATTAAATGCGACTTATTCCTTATACCTAGCATGGATTTAATCTTATCTCGCCTTCTCCAGGTTTGATAATAACTGTCGTAAGAGAGGACCAGACGGAGCACGCCCTCCTAAAGATAATACGCTCAACAGGAAATCAATGGTTTGAAGTAAGTTTTCTTGAAGTAAACTATGCGAATATTATTTTGAAAACTTCAACAGTTTATGATATTCAATTATGAACTGAATGTTTCTATAAAATTGTAATTTATATTTTCATTTTTAGATCTATTGATTTCCACAGAATATTTCCCCAAATTAGAGACGTGCTGTGTCAAATTATTGTTCATAAGAACGAATAAACTTAGACATTCATGTTAGCTTGATGGCTTTCAATGCAAGTCCAAGTTTCTTATATTTTTTCTGATGTTTATTATTCAGTCAAGAGCGCGACATTTTTTTTATTATTCTGCGACGAAAACCGCGTCTCGCTATATGACTTCTGTTGTAAATTTATATCAATATTGCGACACCGAAGAGTTGAATGCTTTGTGCGTAATGCTTTTTAACGCTAACCACGTTAGGTTAGAGTTAGGTTTAGGGTTAGGGTTAGTCAGGTCAAGTTTAATTTTTTTTATTTTAAATAGGGTTTATGTCAACTAATTATAGTCGCGGTATTACCAAATTATGTTCATATATAGATATATACGTAACTACATTTATATATATATAATATATATATATATACTTTTTTATTATAACGTTACAAATTATGTATGGTTTTCCTTAGGCGGCCGTGGATCCGTTTTCCCAGGATTTGTCCTTCAGCTTGTTGCTGATCGCCACGGTAGGCAAAGGACCTCTGGGAGACATCGCCATCGACGACACTTCGTTAGAAGTCGGTGCCTGCCATGAAAACCCTGAAATGGCAAGTTATCCATAGCAGTAAAAACCTTGGTTTCGAAAGCAATCCTAATCATTTTGATAAAGAGAACAAGGAAATACTTGTGTTCGCTGCCATTTAGACCCAATAATACACGGATGATGGACATTTTCAGAACTTCGCGCTCTATCCATGCTCAAGAAGTTGCGTGTTTTCGAACATGTTTAGTTGATCAACGGTTCAATAAATACATAAATAATTGCTTCCGGTTTTGAAATTTATCTCCGCAGTGCCTTGTAGAAAGAGAAAACTTTTCGACTCTTCCTCATAACTATAACTCAATTAATATAAGTAATATATATTCAAAGACATTAACTATTAATATCTTGAATATGAATAATTACGCCCTAATTTTAAATCAGCGTAACAATTTCCCTCATCGCAAGGAAATTGTACGTATAAATATCTAACACAAACATTATGGGTTCGCAGTACCACTGCCACGACGGCACTTCCATTGAGTTCGATCTCGTGTGTAACTTCGTCGAGGATTGCCGGCTCGGTGAAGACGAAAGTTTGTGCGCTGACTGCCGTTTCGAAAATAGTAAGTATTTTCATCGGTTATTCCTGTAGGATTATTCTGATTTTCTTGTGAATTATTTTTTTTCAAATTTAATTCTCCCTACGAACAAACTTTTGGGCGCGTTACGTTACATATCGTCGATCCGCAGTTCTATGGTCGTTTAATAACGACTTATGAATTGAAAAATACAAAAAATTCACCATTCGAACATATTGTTCATGGTTTCTTCAAATGAACGCAGCCCTTCCTTCACGTATATAACAATGAAAACCCAAGGAAATGATAAAGTAAGTAGATAAGGAGATAAGGAGGAGTAGATTTCCAACTCGTTTTTGACAAAAATTCTGCAACAATAAAAAAAACTTACAGCTTTCTGTGGTTGGACGCGCGATTCCACAACGGACCACATCTGGGACCTGGCCCAAGTGTCGCCGTCCTACGGCAAGTCGCTGTACGTGGCCCAGCAGGTGGCAGGGGAGCCTGGGCCTGCGCTCATCAGCTCCCGCGATCTCCACGACGCATTCACCAACTGCACTTTCAAGTTCTGGTTCGTTGTCCACTTGTTAATTTAATCGAGTTCTTTGCTGGATTCGGAAATCAAACGAAAATATAAAAAACCACTTACGGAAATTGAAGATGGATAATGAGTGTAAAGGTTCATATAATGAAAGCATTGTTTTTTGCGAGAAGCAAGGGCTGAACAACCCGGCAGTGCTTCGGAAAACAGGGCATCTGCTGACCTTTACCAACTATTTACAAATATCTATACTTTTACTTAAAGCCAAATTTTTACCAGGCTCATCCACTGCCACAATACTTGAATTATTTCGTTTAAAAATGTCCCTAAATGAAACAGGTATCGCAGTAACCCTGAAAACGGCACGTCGGCTCGACTAAGCGTCGCGGTGGAATCGTCAGGAGGCACCGCTTACGTCTACCACGTCATAAACGAAGGCAATGACGACTGGAAGGAGGCAAGCGTGCAGATATTCGGTGAGAATTATTTGTAAATATTTAGCTAGTTATGCAGCTGCTCTAGATATTCTGCGTCATGTAATAGGATGACTTTCCACAGGTAATTGTTTTGGTACATCATGACATATTTGATCTTTCTCCTCCCAAAATACCTGACTTAGACTAGTAAAAATTTTTTCAATGAAGTTTTGCTAGCCCACCTTCTTAAAGCTGATAGACCGATATCCTGGAATGAAAAAAATTACTCAAATTTTTTGTGGGTCACAAATTACCAACTTAAGACAAAATTGAAAGTTGTATGATTAATACGTGTATATTTTTTAGACTTTGCGCTAACTTATTTTTAACATTCTAAAAACCTGTATTGTAATATACTTGCAGATCACTATGAAGCGTTCCAAGTAACGCTAGAGGGTGAAACCAACGCCTCGCCTTTCGCCCTCACGGTGGACGACACATCCATGGCTGGGTGCACCCAACCGCGCCTCAACCAATCCTGTTCAGCAGGGCAACTCTCTTGCCAAACATCAGGTAGCAAAAATTTATCCTGCGGGAGTTTATTGGTGGAAATCTACAGCTAACCTTGACTTTCTTCCCGGGGCAAAAATGGTGCCAATTGTCTCCTGTTACATTACCCCGCTTAGTGCGCAAACATTTGTGTCGAACCACTCGTAGCCTCAACATAACTCTTTCAACTGCTGGTGAAGTTTGGTCCTATATTAATTCGACCTAATGTAATTTTATTTCATCGACAGCTGTGTCGCACATATTATGTGAATAACTGTAAATCGGAAATGTGGGCAAGTTTTCTGTATTTAAGCATATCATGCTTGAATGAATTGGATTAACATCCTCGGATATTGAAGTTTTCCCATTCGTCAGGCCTGTGTATTGATGAAGCGTATATTTGCGATGGCACCAACGACTGCGGTGACAGGACCGACGAAACTAATTGTAACGCCAATTTTCCATTGTGCGATTTTGAGGACGATGCTTGTTCCTGGAACCAAGAAGCTAACAAAGACGATATTGGTATGTTAACATAGATTTCTTGATGTTTATCTTAAATCAAAAATATATTTATTTAGGTTTATTATTCGTATGCCCTGCTTGCTCTTGTCTGTATTTTATGTCCTTTTTGAATCAATGTAAGGAAGTATGATTCCTTTGGTGACGAAATACCAAATCTTTTAATGGATTAAAATAATAAACTATATTATTCATAATTCAACTATTCCTGTAACTATTTAACGACTGATGCAGACTGGATTGTCACGAACGGCCAAACACCTGCCGGGCTAGAATCGTTCAAAACTGGCCCATCAACTGACCATACCACCCGACTGCCTGAAGGAAAGTATTTATACATTACGAAATTTGAGTCTAGCAATGAGGAAAGCAAGAAGGCTTGGTTACTCAGTCCAACGATCCAAAGAACGGAAGACAAGTCGTGTATTCTGCGTTTCCATTATTACATGTTTGGACCTAACGTTCAGAGTGTCATTGTATACAAAATTTCTGGAGGAAACGAGCAAACTGATGAACTTTTCTCAGTCACGGGCGACCAAGGACAAAAGTGGTTACGCGGAACCTCAGAGGTAACAACATCGGGACCTTTCCGATTCGCCATAGAAGGGACTGTCAAGTCACTGGATTTCGTGGACATTGCAATAGACGACATCTCTTTGTCTCAAGGATGCGTTGCTGCAGCCGACGTGACTACCACCACTAGTACATCTACAACCACTAGAGTAACTCCGTCTCCCACCACGAAGATTACCACTCCCTACACGTTCCCTACCTCTACGACGCGTCTCCCTCCCACCACGACGGCCAAACATTGTCCTGCTACAACGCTCGACTGTGGGGCCTCCAACCTTACCTGCGTGCCAGGGATGCTGGTCTGCGATTCGGTCCAAGATTGTCTCAACGGTGCCGATGAAGAAGGATGTGCCGGTAAAATTCTTGGATTGCTTCTGACCATTTTAACTGTGCAGCAAAATAACAAATAACATTGATTTAATTTTTTGGATCTGTTTCTTGAAATAAACTTTAATTATATCACACACAATTTTCCCTTCTAATATGCTCATGAAAATAAAGTAGAACAAGGGGCATTGAGATAATAATTGCTTTATAAAGTTTATTAAGTGCATAAAATATAACACAGAAGGTTCACCCGACATAATATAATATTCTTATCTTCCTCAGTTGATATACGTGAAGCTGCTTGCTTCATCCCAAATTCAATTAACTCAGCTAGTTAGAATTCGTGCTCCGGTTGTGTACGTGGCTCTTTTCTGTGCATGCATGTCATGCAAGTTTGATTTAAAACTTTCAGACGGAACTCCTTGTGGCGCTGGACAAATGTACTGCGGAGGATCAGGCAACCAGTGCGTGGACCGATTGCAAACTCTGTGTAACGGCGTCGTTCAATGCCCGCTTTATGATGCAGATGAGAGCATCTGTGGGGAATGTCCTCCTACTTATTGTATCAACGGAGGTGTCTGCTATGTCGATGAAGTCACGTCCGCTCCAGAGTGCAGGTTAGAATTCACTTTTCTCCTCTAAAAATGTATACATAGAAATTATATGTTGATACCAAAAATAAGATTGAGTTACTTCTGAACAATATTTTAAGAGGATTTTTGCGCACCTGGCATTTTTTAATATATGACAGGCTATCTATGCATGTATAAAAGCGAGCAAGCAACAACCATTCCCTGTTTCGTTTCAAAAAATTTCAAACAAAATTCACGTTACGTTCAAAATTTGTGTTCAAGATGTTCACCCCCGTACTATGGCAACCGCTGCGAGCTGCACGCCGAGGGCGGACTGAGCGGCGGTGCGATAGCTGGCATCGTTATCGGCGTGCTTCTCTTTATTGCCCTCCTGATCGCTGTCGCTATTTCGCAAAGGCATCGGTAAGGGTTTTATTGCGAGCAATAAAATAAATAATTATTAGCGTGAACTGAGTGCTCCGGTTCATTGATATCCTTACCACGGTCTCTCCTTCTCAAAAGCATCGGTACTGATTTCATTGCTGGCCATGAAATAAATATTTTAAAGTTGCCTGAAAAAATCGGCACTGCTTGTTACATCATAATAATAATAAATTCATGTTGTTACATAATAGATATGTTAATTTCATGTTCACATCAACAATAAGACATTAAAATACCATAACAATTTTCTAACTCCATTAGGTCACTAGTACGAGCGGTAACAATGGTATTATTACTTCATTAGGAATTCTTATTTAATGATATGAAAATAATTAATTTCCCGTCATTACAAAGATTTGCTCGGCCGAACAACAGCAGTAACTTGCTGTCAGCCGCGGACCTGGATGCGACAGACGACACCGCCTACATGGGACCTGACTTACCGCTACACCACCTGAGCGACCTCGCAGACACCAACTCTGCCAATCTTAAGAACAAGACTCCTTCTGAAGGTAGTAGAAGTCATCACTCTCAAAGCCCGATCAATTTCGTGATCGGTAGCTCTGCAGCAAATAAACTATTCAAGAAGACACACCCACCTGCCAAATTCTATGAGAATGAAAATTTTGTCTTCGGTGAAGAACTTCAAACGAATATTGCTGATGATACGGTTACCGGGGATGTTGGAGCTGTTATCAATGATGAAGAAGCTGTTGCTGCAAATTCAGCAGTAGACATTAGTAAACTGAAAACGAATTCCTGAACGAATGTTCGCTCGATGTAAAATATTCCTATTACTTACATTTTGATATGTCTAGTTGTAAATACAACATTGAAATAAGTAGTGCCAATTGTAAATGCTAGACGATTATCCGTAAATGTACTATGCCAATAGTATTACGACAAATTTTCATTAAGTCGGATACCGAACAAAAATTTTCTGTCGATACCAAGGAATATTTTAGCGTTGAACTAAGTTTTCTGCACACCCTATTTTTTTGAAGAGACAGCCTGAATAAGAACTTCAAGTTTTTGATCGGACACTTATTTTGGCCTGATACTTTTTGGCGATTGCGAATTAGCATTTATCGAAAACTTAGTTATTTTCGATATCGACTTTTCATAAATGTTTAGCGAACGATAATGCAGATGCTCAGTCAAAGATGATTTTGCAAAGATGATAATAAAATAAAAGCTCTTGATCTATTAAATAATGAAGAAATATTGTATGCTTGTTTATCTTATCATTATCTTCACTGTAAACCAATTCACATTGAATGCCACTGACCATATATGAAGCATAATTTATAACCATTATTATCTAGACATAACAGTAAGCGGCATGTCTAATTTAATAAATATTATTTTATTTTCATATGTATTAAGTTATTTTGTGAATTGTGATATAGAATGTAAAGCACTAACAGTGTACAAATCGATTTATTTCCGTTCTCTAATGCGGGTCAATAAACTTGGAAAAAATCGGACGGGATTTGCGATGTGTGCAAGCTCCCAACAGCGCAGTTGCGTATTGACCGTCGTTGGATGAGGACTTGACCATTAGGGGCAATCCAAGTGGCATTAGATTAATGTATAGAGATTCCAATCAGGCAGGCTCACAGTTATTTTAACAAGGAGTGAGGATGGAAGGTTGTGCGGTTGTTGTAGATTATTAGATCGGTTCATGGTTGTAGGTTAATATATCAACTTGCAATTTGAACTTTAACAGGTATAGGTGACAGAACGGTTACTATAACGTGTAGTTGATAGGCAAGAAAACATTTAAAGTAAAAAATACTTTACCATTTTCAAACAAAATCTTACTATGTGAAAATTGAAACTTTTCACAGTGATAGGCGATATGAAAATTAATTACGACTTTATTTGCCATCAGGAACTGTTAAAAAGTCTCCCTAAAATCATTTGTTTTTTTTAGAAAAGTTTATTGAGATTCATAATACCGAAATATGTTAAGGTGTTAGATATAATTGTTATATTAGAATAGATTATTCAATGTAATAATATAAACTTGATCTATTTTTCCGTGCAAAGGATTTATATTCTTCCATTTTTTTCGGAGCAGGTAGAGTTTGACTTTGAGAGAATTTATTTGCAACGGAAATTTTATTAGAGGAAAGCGTAACTATTCGGAAAATTCAGGCATTATATTTGGAAAATATGTATGGATTAATTATGCCTTACGTTGATAATCAACGTCCTCCGAAAAAAAAGCTCCAGCTAAAACAGTTTTCATATATTACTTATTTACTTATTTAGTACTATAAACTCGGGTCATACGGGCATTCAAACGCAGTTAGAGCATAATACGATTTTGGAAAACCACATCAAATGAGACAATCTTGAAGGTTAGAGATATCAAAGAGATAGAAATCTTATCTCCACTCAACTGACTCATGAGTGCGAAATTGCTTTTAAACAAAATGAATATACACTACTGATTCCAGCTTAAACCGGCCACTGTTTACGAAAAAAACATGAGTGAAAAAGAGTTGACCTCAAAATCATGCCCTGTTGAAACTTTCCATTGCAATAACCTTGACTGGTCATTGTGGCAGGAGGTCACTGTGGCGGGAGTGTACCCGTTACGGTAAAAACTCTTCCATCTCTCGCCCTAGTTTTTTTTATGCGAGACGTACACAATTGCAACGTTATTGGTACAGTTAGGCAGACGTTCTTACTTAATGCGAGCTTGATTGATGACATAAGAACCAATCCCTCACCCTAGTTTTTTTAAGCAAGACGTACACACTTGCAATGTTATTGGTACAGTTAGGCAGACGTTCTTACTTAATGCAAGCTTGATTGATGACATAAGAACAATAATTAAAGTAAGAGATACTTGCGACAAGAACTGGTCCAGCGACGTAAAAACGAGCAACGTCAACCAACTCTCTCCCTCGCCAGCGCTCTGCATCTTAATGACTCCATGTTGTCAACAAAATTTCAATACAGTTATTTGTTTGGGGCAGATTTCATCCCCGAGTTCATGTATATATATAATTAAAAATTCATTTTGCACAAATAATTGAAAAAATAACAGAATTATTTTGAGGCACAGATGGTGCTGGTGGCGCTTCACTATTTAACATGTCTAGTGAGATCAGTGTACCGGAGGAATATCTTAAAATTAGAATCATTTATTGTGACATCATTCACAGCCGAAATAAATTTTTTTATTTCAATACAACGATTAATTCTAAGGTTTTATTTAGAAAGACATGGCACGTTTAACATCAGCTATATACTCAATTAAGAGGGATACTTTGTAGTGGAAGTCAACACAGGAGTCTTGACAAGAGTCACCAGTATTTGCAGGTGTAGTCACCTGTCACCTGTAAAATCACCTGTAATGCTTTACAATCCCTTGGAGCACCAAACAATCTTCTGCAATACTGTATATTCACTTTTAGCACCTAACTATCACCTACATTACTTTACAATCACCTGCAGCAACTTGTAGCGACGTGTTGTGAAGCGTGCACTAGCTTACTTGTAGCATGTTGCAATCACCAATAAAACCTAGCGACTACTGGCCGCTTCCTGCAATGACATTCAACGCTTTACAATCCCATTTGACACTAGTGATTGCAACTAACTCATTTAAATTGATCTTTATTTCACATGCACCATGGGCATAAATCCTGTTTGCATCGACGTAATTCAGAGAAGAAGTTTCAGAGAAGTTTTCAGAGAAGTTTCAGAGAAGTAAGAGATGAATATAATTCAATTATTTTTAATTCACTGAGATCATTAGAATGATACAATCAATTATGGGCCATCAAAATGAATACCCCCGTTAAAAATTTAAAACATTTCTATTTATAGCATTACTATCTCCAAATTCTACAACGAACTTGACCTTCCCGAGAACAGTAAATGGATTTACTTCACGATGAACTTTAACACAATAATGGGCGAATTTTCTCCTTGAATGAGACCAGTAGAAATCCTTGGTCTGGGTCAAGCTTTCAAGTTCAACCGGTATTTTGTGGCGCACCTTGACATGAAATACTAATATTTACCTAGATTGTTTTAATCAATAATAAATTCAAGTTTCGGTCAACATTTTATCGAATAAAATGGCTTCTAATATGAAAAAAATTTGTGACATTAAGACTCTAATAAGAATTATTCACAGTGTGTTCAACTTAGTAAAGGATTTTAAAATATTGGTTATATTTTTTATAGGCATTCGAATGAACTTGCATGGAAATTGATTGACTCAGTTAATAATTTTACAGAAAATTAGCTAGAAAGTAAAAATAGGCATGTTAATTATAACACTGACAAGTTGAAAATTTTAGGAAATGAAAACCTGGAAGGAGATAATTATATAGTAATGCACTAATATCGCTTCAAACACTGGAACATCAGCGCACTTTTTTAAGACTGTTAATTTTGATATATATTACAACATTAAAGAGCAATTTTTATCGTTTGCAATATTTTTCTCGATTGTACAGAAAAACTAACTCACGAGCAATTAGCCGGTAATATTATGAAACGCATTGAAATAAGTTACAAAGCTTTTTGCATTCCATTTAGATGGCTACAAGAGACCGAAGTTACGGTGTAAAAAACATGTCTGGTGAGTCGATGTAAGACATGCACGACAAAGCGCTCGGTGTTTGTACGACATATGCACAGCGCGCAGTCGCAACTGCCTCGCCTGGTCTCGTTAGGCTCCTAAAAAATCAATCGCATTGGATTTCTCTTCAAGTTTTCTGTGAAATTATATGCATGCGCGTCATATCCCTAGAATTTCCTGACATTTTCTCTATTGAAAAAATAATTCATGGCTATTTCGTCATGAATTTTAGAAGAAACATTTATTATTTACGTAAAGATCAACATGTTTCCACATTTTCAATGACTTCACATAGAATACATTCTTAAAACGGAGCAATCTATGTATCCTGTACTTTTTAGCCAACCAAGTAGGTGACAGTAAATAACTGTAAAATAGTCAAAATAGTTTCTATAGACCAACATCATTCGAAGCTCAAAATTAACCACTCAATTGACGCAGCATCGTAATTCATCCAGCTGATTTACTTATACTTGTATAACATACTTTCTGCCGCGAAAATTGCATACGTTAAAATAGTCGGACGTCTCTCTCATCCACGTATTAATAGAGTAGATGATACAATCGACATAAGAACTGGTTTCTCGGCCACTCGCACAAACAAGACAGGCGCTTTTTTCACGAAAGGGACATTGCTCCATATTACAGCCATTCCTTTCCTTAAGTGGACAATGCTCATGAATTTCACGTCTGTGAAGAAAAGAAGAACTTAACAATTTATAATATTATTTCCAGAAAAATAAGATCAGTGATGTACTTTGTCGATGTCAACCATTTCTTAGATCTTGTGATATATGACATATAGAGGATGACAAATAAATTTCACAGGTATTTCAGATGCTAAATTATTTTATAATTAAATTTCACTGAACAGCATATTTACATGAAGCAATATTATTATTTGCTTTTCTGAGCAGCAAACGTAGATATCTATCATCTTTAAGAGCAATCTAAAACTTATAATTTATGCTAAAGAATTAACATTGTCGCAACTACAACTTGAAGTCGCATATTAACTATATGGAACCATGTACTACATTAAAATGTATCATACTCGTAACGTTAGATAGTACAGCCGATAATTTTCTTTGAATTATTCATTTCAACGAGTAAACGGAGCAAAACGTTGGATTTAAACGCAAATCTCATCAGCATTGGAGAATCGATAAATAATGTTCAGTTTCATTCCGCAAAATATTAGGGTGTAAATTCAATCAACCAACCTCTCCGCTATGGAACACGTTTTCTTCCCTCATATTTCTAGCACATGTATATTCTCTCGGAATAACTATTTTCCCTCTAGAATCTTCAAAATTATATGTTCCTTGCATCCGTTTCCCATAAAAGTAATGTCTCGGATAAATTTACGGCCGGACCCGCGGCCGGTCTCGCGGCCGGACTCCAGATTCAGTGTACATCGAATATCTCCCAAAGTACTGAACGTAGCTCGATGAAACTTGGTACACGTATTTACTATGACCTGACGGTAATGTCAAGCTCGTGACAACTTTTTAAATTTCGCCTTCATTCGTGAGTTGTGAGACGAAATGTTCCGAAATTTGCAGTGTACAGAAAATTTCTTCCAAAGCACTGAACATATTTGAATGAAATTTTGAATATGAATTGCTGGATACTCAATGGTGATGTTTAGCTCGTGATAATTTTTTACAATTTGCCTTCGTTCGCGAGTATTTTTCTCTTTTCCCTCATTCGTGATTTAAACAGCAAAACGTGCTTAAGTTCGCAGTTTACACGAGATTTCTTCCATAATACTGCACAGATTTGAACGAAACTTTGCATATAGAAACCTAACCTCCTCAAGGTGATGTTTAGCTCGGAACAATTTTTTCGATTTTGCCTTAGTTTGTGAGTTTTACGGATATACGGAGAAACGACCGGCAATTCTAAGGCCGATTTTCAAACTCGCATTGACCAAGAGTATACGTAAAGCCGTATAACTCGCAAACGAAGGCAAATCAAAGAAATTGTCACGAGCTAAAGATCACCATTGGGAGGTTAGGTTTCTATAAGCAAAGTTTACTTCAAATCTGTTCAGTATTTTAGAAGATATCTCGTGTACCCTGCGAATTTAGGCACGTTTTGTTGTTTAAATCTAAAATGAGGGAAAAGAGAAAAATACTCGCGAACGAAGGCAAATTGTAACAAATTCCCACGAGCTAAACATCACCGTTGAGTATTCAGAAATTCATATTCGAAATTTCATTCAAATCTGTTCAGTACTTTGGGAGAAATTTTCTGTACACTGCAAATTTCGGCACGTTTCGTCATGTAACTCGCGAATGAAGACGAAATTAAGAAAATTTTCCCGAGCTTGACATCACCATCAGGCGATAATAAATACGTGTACCAAGTTTCATTGAGCTACGTTCAGTACTTTGGGAGATATTCGATGTACACTAATTTGCGGCCGGACACGAGTCCGGCCGCGCGACCGGCCGCAAGTCCGGCCGTAAATTTGTCCGAGACGTATAAAACGTTCCGGTCGTAAATTTGTCCGAGACGTATAAAACTTTCCGGTCGTAAATTTGTCCGAGACGTATAAAACGTTCCGGCCGTAAATTTGTCCGAGACGTATAAAACGTTCCGGCCGTAAATTTGTCCGAGACGTATAAAACGTTCCGGCCGTAAATTTGTCCGAGACGTATAAAAGGAACTAGCTATATCATATTGATCTGTCAGTCTTAGTCTAGAGCAGACGCTGCTAGGCACAGAAGAAAACAATGGAGAAATTTCGACAAATTTCCATAGATGGAATGATCACTGATTGGCTTACGATTGATCCAATTGATGGAAATCCAAGTGAAATCGTTCTTTTCTTACCAGGCAAGTGTTGCAACCAAATAAATCAATTAATATTGATAACTATAAATTAAGACTGAATATAAGGAAGTTTAAGTAGTTATATCATGATAATTCAATATCCAAGGAAACATATGATGTGATTGGGTGCAAAAATAGAGCAACATATTTTTCCCCAATATTACGCAAGTTACGACAGATGTTCGGATTCAGAGCACTTCCCATACCATTATATAACTGTATTCAATTGCTTCCACCATATTTACACCAAATTTGGCTCATGATCAGAAATATTATTTATTATATTATTTCATTCTTGTTACCATTTAATATGTAGATATATTTCATTAATATTCATAAGAAATATTCAGTACTTTTACTGCTGTGCATCGATATTTTTCTCTCAGGAAACCCGTCGCTGATGAACTTCTATAAACAGTTTTGCCGCGAACTTTTCAAGGAGCTCGGCGGTAGTAAGGCGGTGTGGAGCATCACCATGGGCGACCAGGCCGCTACGGGGCACTCATTCAGAGGTCTGTCTAGTTTTTAGGGCTACCAATATTAATAGAATTTGCGCTTTAACTTTAATGACTTTAATAATAATTAATAAAATTTAATAATTAATAAATTTATAATTTTAATAATTAATAAGTTAGTAATTAACTTTAATGATTAATAGACTTTGCGCTTTTACTTTAATTTACGTCATTTGATTTTACTGGCATTTTAAATTTCATGTAAATTACCGATATATATATATATACACATATCGATCACATGAATTGGATTCAGAAACTTATTTAATATATTGGTTGATTTCAACGTTGTTCTTCTAATGACAAAAAAATGTCAAACGATTATACCAATTTCCGCTCATTCTTCACAGAAACCGTCGCACCTCCACCCACTCCATCGTTGGACAAACAACTGAGGCACAAAGCTAAGTTCATCGACGAGTATATTCCAAAGGGAGTAAAAGTCTCAATAATTGCATATTCCATCAGCTGCTACCTCCTCCTCGCTCTGATCAAGAAAAAAGGTGTCGCCATTGGAACTTTGGGTGATGATGCCGGAGCCAAATTAGTTGATTCATTGTACTTTATTTTCCCGGTAATCGAGCGAATGAGAGACTCTCCTCTGGGGAAAATTTTCCTCCCGGCTCTTTGTTATTTCACGTGGCTGATCCTAGCCATCGCATTCATTATTTTGATGTTTCCTAACAAAATAAAATTCCCCATAATTAAAAAAATCCTTACTTCGAATACGGGTTCTCCGCCTCAGGACCAGTTTGTGACGGGAGCCATCGAATTGATTCATCCAGTGATGCTGAAAAGAGTCCTTAACACCTTGAAAGAAGAAATTGAACAAGTTAAAGAACTAGACATCTCAACCATTGAGGACAACCGACATAAAATGGTATTCTATTATGGCTCCTACGATGGCTTTTGTCCTAGGAAATACTTGTACGAACTTCGCGAGAGAGTCCCTGATGTGAACGCCTACTTGTGTCGGGACAGCCTCCACCATGTCTATGTGGCCCACTCCTCCGAGCAGATGGCGCATATCATGGGGGGCATCATGGGAAACAAGAGCGACGAACGAATGCGGTGATATCAGCACAAAAACATTAGTGCATTATTTACTACTCGCCATGTCACCAAAATAATTTAAATTGTATAGAACAAAATTTATGTTATAGCTTGTTCATCATTCTCAACATATTTATTTTGTGTTGCTTGCTGTAGTGTTTGTAATATCACTGTAATTTTTTTAAATAATTATCTATTAAGAAATCATGAGGAGTCATCAGAATTGTGCATAGGAAGCTCACTAGAAATATTAATAGGTTTCATTCCAAAACTCTCCAAAGTTTTGGAATCGAACAGTGAAGCTGAAATTATGACTGATATCTTTTCTAAGCAATCGTGTCTATTCGTTTAGTTGTTGTATTCGTAGCTCAAGGTGGAAATTTTTATCAATGAATCTAGCAGTGGATAACTATTAATTTAGAAGAAAAGTCATACCTGCTATAGACTGTTAATGATTTTAATTTTTTTGTATTGAAGTATTGTTCATTGAAGATACGCTTTATCCATATTTGTAAAAGTTACTGTATAATTTTCTTTGTTGTTAAGGTGAGCAACGTGGACCTCAGAACGTGGTTATCTGTAGGTTTGTCTTTTAGTTTAGAGTTGAAACAAGTAAATAATCTGAATTTGCTAAGCTTTAATGACGATATATTTAATTTATTTCAAGTATGTATATTAGTGCGATTGCAATTAATAATCAAGAAGCGGTTTTATATCAGTTGTTATGAATATTAATAATAATAAATCAGTAAATCTTATATATAATTTTATAATATATAATATGTTTACATCGACCTTAAGCGATGGGTTGCACAGATTTTAATGCCAATTGCTGATGCCTATTGAATTTAATTCTGATATTTCATCCAATACAAGCTTCCTCATAAGTCATATGTCATTTGCTGGACCAACTACAGGGTCCTCCATATTTATGGCAACGCATGCTTTTTGTTATTTCTCAGTAAAACAAACAGGTTCGCTGTTTTTATATTGGATGAGCTAGTAGCCAAGAATTACCTAAACAATTATCAGACATATTTATTCAATATAACCCCCCTTATTTTTAATGACGGCCTCCAATCTACGCGGGAAAGCTTCACAGGAGACACGCAGCATTTCTTGAGGGATCAAGTCCCATTCTCCCGTCAATTATGACTTCAAACTATCCAAAGAATCATGAGTTGTTCTGCGGACCCCTACCACACAGAAAAGTCGAGAGGATTCAAATCAGGGCTTCTCGAAGGCCATTCATTTTTGCCAATGAAAGCTGGAATGCGACCCTGAATCCAGTTTTGGGTCATGTTTGCGCCATGTACGATGGGGCAGAGTCTTGTTGAATACTCCATGGTAAGCCATTGACGTGTTTACGGGCCTATAAGGTAACAACACAGCTCCCAAAATGTCCGAAATGTATCGCTGACTGTTCAATTTCACTCCCGAGGGGACAAAAACGAGTGGGGACCTCCCAGTGGCGGTTATCGCGGCCCATACCATCACGGACATGGGATTTTGACGTCGTGTTGCTGTTCTGGTTGCTACAGATCCATCCCGACTCCAAACTCTGTCATTTTTATGGTTAACGCTATGTTCAATGTCAAAATTTTTCTCGTCACTGAACACCAAGTTGGGCAGCGTGCCATCCTCAATGAGATCCAGAATGCGCTGGCATATTTCGAGCCTCATTCACATTGAGGACTTTACGCATTGAGGACTTTACATTCTTCTTTGAGGACTTTACGCATTGATGTCTGACTGACGCATGACTGTCTGATTGCAGCTAATTTTGCAGCTGAGCGACGAGTGTTTCTCCTCAACTTCTAACTCGTGTGTGTTTTTGACCAATTGTTTTGTTCGGACACTTCGTTTCCTTCCTTGCCCAGGTCGATCGCATGTTTCACCAGTTTCCTTTGAACATTTTTACCACCTTTCACACAGTTTCATGACGGATTTGGAACTTATTTGCAATGACTGAATAATTACTCTCGCCCCTCTCATGAAGGGTTACAATTGCATTTCTATCTACTGCCATAAGTAATTGTGATTTTAGACACCTCAGACTTCTGTAATATAAAATAGATGAGTTAATAGATGATACTAGGCTTTATTATAAAAGAAAAGTCTCCCAGAAATCAATTTATTTATATGTAGCAAACATCCGTTCTCATAAATATGGTTGACCTTGTAGTGGATAATGCGCTCAAGTCACTGCAACCAATATATTCTCCATAAATTGGATTAATGAGAGCTCTGCACTCCGATTCAATGCTCAAGATCGATAATAAAATCATCTTTGAGAATACTTTTGAAAAATTTTATAGCGTTGTGAACAAGATATCAGATAAATTTTCCCTACTTACTTCAAATGCTGCTGCAGTTTATGTATGCAATTTTTTTTTCGATCATACATCGTAGAAAACTAGAACGAGCTTGCACTAACTTATTTAAATATTGCTCATGTGGCTCTATAATCCATCATGACTCGAGTAGTATTATTAGTTCTACCAAGCGTTACTCAATTAGCTTGACTTCGTTAACTAATGGTAAAAGTCAATATCAGGATTTTAAAAAGACTTATTTTAATGGCGTATTTTTTTTTCCATTCGAATGGAAAAAATCGAACTACGGCGCGGAGTAGCTGGTTTTCATTTATAATAATTGTGCAGTAAATCAGGCTGAACTTCATCAGGGAAGAAAAAGAAAGAGTAAAAAGCATTTGAAAATATGATAAAAAATAAAAAATGAAATGAAATCTATGCATACTTTATCGTCATCTCAATGTCCGAAAACAACACTTTAAGAAGTTCCATGCCAAAAAATTCATTGATTTCTGTTCAAAAAATCATATGTCTGAGAATTTCCATCGTTATTAAATACCATTACGTGTGGGGACGGAATATGTATCAACCTACCCTTTAATAATTTAATTTCATTCTTGGTCCGCAGGCGACAGCCTGATGGAAATTCGGTTCAATAAATTTTGAGCAGGCAATTTTGGGTGACTTCGAATATCCGATTGATTTTTATCTCCCGTCCGATGTATGGAAAACGAACGTTAGGGGAAATTTATCGTTGCGTCCTCGTCAGCCTTCGTTCCTGAAAATAACGAAAATAGAAAATAATAATAGATTGTTGTGAAAAATTTCTGTCACGTTTCCGCTGTTTTCATTTAAAAAGTTGCATGGATCCTTGAATTTTTGTTTTATAAGCAGATGGCTCGCGACCTGGCGTATGCATGCACGCAGGCACATGCAGGAGTAAATTGCATTCTTGGGACGCTGCCTGAGATTGGCTGGAGTCGCTCTTCTGTTTCTTAAAGTAAGAAATTATCACGTAATCTGGACCTATACTTTCAAAACTCGCTAAGTGAACGTTAGTACTCACGCTCTATTTTCTTGTCTGTAATTGGTTGATTTTGCTTGAAAGGCTGTCAATGATTGCTGATGAACTTACGATCTCTTAACTTTTTTTGGATGTATAGGCCCTGGAGTATGAATGTGGATTTATTAATATTGCTTCTGCTCCTAAAAATTATACACGTTATTGATTGGAGTAGTATGCGAGTTTCCTTATGATTCAGATGTCAATAAAATTTGAAAGGATTTTCAATTTTCAGTTGCGTAATCTTGAATGAAGGCTGTTTACGAGAAATGCCCGATTTCAAGTAAGAAGTGGATGAAAAACTTGAGTGTTTTTCTTAATTATAAAGAAAATGAGAGATTCAGTGCAATCCCTGGGCAAAATTGATACAAAAAGAAATTGTGTTCCAAATCCAAGTACATTTTAAACTTGTACAATTAGTTGCATGTATTGTTCGTGCACTCGGATATCTTTAGATATAGAATTATTTTAAATAATTGGCCAATAATTATTGGTCTGCAAGCTTCACTTTGATCGTTGCCATTATGCCAAATTGGTTTGGCATCTTAGCATCGCGAAGAAAATATTCTTTATAAACTTCCATGCTGAAGTTTAAACCAACAAAATGTCGATAAAAATCGAAAATGAAAGTTCGACAAACCCTGCTGTTTGTTCTCAGCGTTGCAAACAAGGCACCGTTAGCATTAATGGCTGCATTTCCTTTTGAGTGCCCACATCCGTACAGAGGATGAAGGCAAATACATCATCAAGGCGGATCCCATCATCAGAGTCACAGATAATCAAGGCAGGCGTCGCAATGGTCGTGGCGAACGTGATGCCGAGGAGCTTTCTTCTCTGATGTGAAGCATTGACTGAACGGGCGGAGCCTGAGCTGCCTGTCAGAACACATTTCTGGTTCTGCGAATATGATGAGTGTTTGCACGTGGATCAACTGATTGATATATGATAATATCGACGCACTTTAGCTGTATTAAACGCCCAGGAGAAGGAATTGATAATAAAGAGCATCTATAATAAGAGTACATTTATGTGCACTGAATGCAGTGGGCCTAATCTTAACTGAGATTAGGCCCACGGGTTCGATAAATTTGATTGCTGTACAGAGACAGGTTGATGAGTCGTTAAAATTTAATCGAATCAATTAGTCCGGAACAAAAACCCCGCCACTCAGGATTAGCCATAAAAAGTAGATCACGATAGAATCCTAATTTGCACACTGAACTAAGGTTTAAATTTATTAGTAGTTTCTATGACATATTATTGTTGAGAGAGGCTATTTGCCCAATAAAGAAGGCTCATATGTAAGACTTAACGGTCATGAATTTTGGATTCCTTCCATTTTGAGGAGAATAAACATGATCCATAAAACATTTTAGCTCTATTTCTCGCTTATCTTTTCACATGACATAGGGACGTCACTCAAGAGCGGGCATAATTCTCCAGAAAGCTTCTCTTACAGCTGAGACGTAAATTTCAAAGCAAGCTAAGTGAGGCGTCGCAGCGAGCAAGGTTTTTAACTGAGTGGGTCGTTTAGCAGCAGTAAAACCACTGATGCAAGGCGTGGTCTCCAACACAGGGTAAGACCATGCCAAAAAACTGGGCCGGTTCTGCGGTCTACGAGAATGATGAGCATCAACGTTGTAAGCGCGAATAAAACCTAGCATATCTTCGACCGCTCTACATAATGAGGAGCGGGTTCACAGGTTCACAGGTTCACGTTAGCTCTAACGCATTCACGCAATGCTCAGATAAACCTTAACAGTATTCTGCAGAGATCAAACATAAAGAAGTATGTCAGAGAGAAAATCTACAAGAGAATAAATAAGCTATCTTTAAGTAGTTATTTGTACGGATAACTTTCAGATATGGATACGCGATCCAGCTGGCTGGCCATTTTATGAGGTGTAATGTTTCATATGCATAATAACGCTTGATGATATTTTCCAACGATAGATTGTTAAAAAATTGTTCAACTCACTGCTCACAACATGCATGCATTCGTGATCTCCGGAGAGTTTCTTCGGGTTTTGCAGGCATCTTGAGTGTTCTCCTAGTAGCAAAAATTGAATCTCGGAAAATTATGCCCGAATGCGCATTGAAGCGCGAAGGGCCGCGTTCCTCATGGCGATGTTTTAATTTGGTTTCGACTCGCATAGTTCTTTTAAAGGCGTGGTAGTTAATGTATCATGTAAACGATCCACTTAAAATAAGCAAAATAAATTATGTGTTTTCGAATAGGTGTCACTAACGCGATTTAATCTATATTAAAACGGTTTACTCTGCAACAGGTCAGACAAAGATTATGGGTCTACGCTTGAAAATAATCATACATCTTAGTTCAAGTCATTTATTTCCATAATCAGTG